CCTCACTTACTCTTCCGCCTCGTCCTCGTGCCGCCGCCGCCGCCGCCGTTATGTTGTGGTTCCCGGGGACGATCCCGGCCGCCATTGCCGCCGCTAAGCAGCGGGGCGCGGTCTTCGTGGTGTTCGTGCAAGGTACGGGCCCGTCCGTGTTCATTTCTTAACGTAGCTTGTTTTTGACCCGCCGAATGGTCCCTGGGGAGGCTCCTGGCCCCTGCCCACCTGCCATGGGGCCGCCGCCGCCGCCGCCGTTATGTTGTGGTTCCCGGGGACGATCCCGGCCGCCATTGCCGCCGCTAAGCAGCGGGGCGCGGTCTTCGTGGTGTTCGTGCAAGGTACGGGCCCGTCCGTGTTCATTTCTTAACGTAGCTTGTTTTTGACCCGCCGAATGGTCCCTGGGGAGGCTCCTGGCCCCTGCCCACCTGCCATGGGGGACCCAGGGGTGTGTGTGAGCCGAGGGGTAGCCTGGTGTGTCTGTGTTCTGACTGGACGCGGGTCTCAGGCCCACGAAGGACCCTCCTAACCTTCGCTGCCTCCGAGGCCCCCTCTCAACTGGGTGGAAGGCCGGGCTTTCTGTAGGATGGTCCCGGTCGGGGGTCGCCCTGAAGTCGACCTTCTTTACCTGCTTCGACTGAAAGCAGGTGGCAGGAAAAGCCACCTGGGGTGGAAGTGTGTGTGTGTGTGTAGGTAGGTGGAGGAAGCAGCAAAGGGAGAGGGCACTACCTTGTAGCAGTGACCATGGTTCTCAGAAAATAGCTAGACGAATCAAATTATGTGGGGATAGTCGTGTAGAAGAGAACAGCAGTGAAGAATCTGCAGCCTTCCAGGTGTTTGGAGTGGCCGAGCTCAGGACACCTGTCTGTTGGACGGATGGGAGTCGAAGTCTTAAATATCTGGAGAGTCAGAGGTTATATATAGTGTTCTGCTCAATGACTGAAGTGAAAACACGTTGACATCCCATCCCATACTAAAAATTACCCTCCCTCAGAGGCAAAAAATATTCCGGATAATGATCTGCTCTGGCCAAACAGAGGGCTCCATCTGCTTTTCTTCCCTCCCTTTGTCTTCCTGCAGAGCAGCCACTGCGCTGAGGCCATAGCAGTCTGGTTTCTTCTCAATATTATGTGTTTTATTCTAATCTTGGTCATCCTCTTGGTATCCAAGAGCTATATGGATGATCTAAAGCTGCTCTCTCTCCTTGTGATCTCTCTGTGGGAGAGTTTGCTATGTCACACTAAACAACATTGAAAGGCCTTACTGTGCTCTGTCAGTGACAAGCTTAAAACTGACCTTGCTGACTGTAGAAGGGCATTAGTTTAACTTTGTCTCAGGTCTGATATGCCGATTTAGGGCATTGCATTCTGTATCTTGCAACCGGGAGATCCCATGGAAAAAAACAAGCAGCATTTCCTCATAGACAGCACCTGCGTGTTAAAGTCCTGGTCTCATCTACTGTGTAGTCTACTAGAGGAATGTTTACTCCTTGCGTTAGACATCTGAATTTATTGCTATTCCATGCAGAAGACACTTCTCATGTGATATTGTGTAAGAAGACACTTCTCATGTGATATTGTGTAGGCTTTAGTGATTACAATAAATTGACTTCTTCAGTAATGTTGCAAACTAGTATAGTACCTAACTATTTGGCTTTATCTAGTCCAGGAACTCTATTTCTTGTACTATAATTGTGTGTCATTTTAGATGAGGTAGCCATGTTAGTCTGTGTTGCATATCAGGTGAAAAAAAAGGTAAAAGTGTTGTGGCACTTTAAAGACTATCTGCTATATTTTAATGTGAGCTTTCATGGACAAATCCGAGGAAGTGGATTTGTCATGAAAGATCACATTAAAACATAGCAGTTATCCTTAAAGGTACCACTTTTTCTAAAGTTTATTTTGTTTTGGCCTGATATGCTAGAATTATATGGATCAGAAGTAGGCATATCTCTCTTGGGTTTAGGTGACATTTATATCCCCTGTTTTCAGTAATATAGTCAAAGGCAAAAGTAATTTCGTCATTATTCTCCAGATTCCATCTTCTTTGTCCAATAGTTTCATCACCATAGTCCCAGTACAAAGTTTTGTTTTGTTTTGTTTGTTTTTATTGAAAACTGTCCTCTAGAACCAGGACAGGTTGCAGTACATGATCATTCATTTACTCTACACAGTCATCTCCTGAAGTTCCTTAGTATAATGTAACTTAGGTCTTGTCTCTTTTTATACATTACCTGAAATATGTCTACCCTATTACTCTCTTAATCCCATCTTCCATTTCTGTTTAGTCATAGGTTTTGAAAGTTCTCAGGAAAAATCTTAGGCATCTGACCATGCAGGTTCTTGGGGGTATGTTGTAATTTGGCTTTCTTTTCATTTAAATACTCTACAGTACTTGGCTGTTTTAATAATAGTAATACTTTAATAGTAACATTTAAAAGAAACACCTGCAACAGCTAGCCTTTGTACAGAGAAATATTGCACCCCCTGCCAACAGGATTACAGCCTAAGGTGGGCTTGTTACATGAAGAAGTAAAAAGTAGTGTGCATAGATTGATTGTCATCAGGAGTGTAAATGTTATCCTATAATTCTTTATAGTTCACTGAATATCCATGGATTTACAAGCACACAGAAAACCAATTTAGCTAAGATATGTTGCTTACTTGCTATTGGGTATTCGTTTGTTACATTACTTTATGCAGAACAATTTTTGTGGCTGAAATATGTTTTCTACTTTCTGGGTGCTTATAAAAGGAACAACAGTTCTATAAATTATATGTGTAGCATAAATCACCACATATCCCAATATCATTGCATATTGGGATGCTGTACAAAAGTTTAAAGGTGAACAGAAGAAGCTGCAGTCTTAAGTTCTTATTTGTTGCAAGATATTTCTGAATCTTTTCCTAGTTTATGCTGTATTCTGCAACTGTTTGTCTTAATTGAGTTACTGGATTAGAAAGTATGTTGGCTGGCCCCTTCTTCTACTCCAAGTAATTTTGATTGTGCTGCACCAAAGATGGATACAGAAAATGGAGATTATTTAGTATTTGTTTAAAGTAAATACTTGGTACTGATGTAAACATCTCTGGAGGATTATTGGTCTGGTTCAAAATATCATCTAAATCAGTGTCTATAAAGATTACTGAAAAAAGTAAAACAAGCCTTGGGCTTATATACTTTTCATCTCTGGACATGAATAGAAGAACAGTGAGCCACTGTGGACATTAGAACCAGGATTAAGCCATGGTTTATTGTCTTGGGATGTTAGCTTACTGAATTCCAGTTTCCTGATTCATTTGTAACGAGAAACAGATTTTATCAGAAGTGAAAACAAAATGTCTCTTCCTTTCTCAAGCATGAAGGAAGACAATATGTCAATCCAGAGACCATCATGGCTTGTTCATACTAATCTGATCCACTCTTTGTTTTGGGTGTGAGGAACCTATTGCCTGGGCAAAGAGGCTTGAAGTGTCTGAAAAGAGCTACCCACATGTTTGTTATAGATCACCAGTTCCTGACCTTGGGTCTCCAGATATTCTTGGGCTAAAACTCCCAGAAACCTTCACCTCTAGCTGTGCTGGCCAGGTTTCCTGGGAGTTGTAGTCCAAGAACATCTGGTGACCCAAGGCTGGGAACCACTGCTGTAGATGGTCGTTCAGACTAAACTACAGTATTACTTACAAGCTTTAGTGTGCAATTAATGTCCAGCATTACCACTTCCCCCCTTTTCTGAGTTTTTAAAGTTGAAAGTTTACAAGTTGAGGAGAAGTGTAAATACTGGGTTTATCCACACAATCCACTGCAACATCACTTTCAGTCATTGTGCTGCCATAAAAAAGCTACTTGAGAGAAAGTGCCTTGTTTGTGCTTAATATTAGCAGTTACTTGTGGAAGCTGTTTTCATAACTTATTCTACCACGCATAGTCGTATATGAAACATTAATTCTAATTTTCAGTGTTCTCTGGAACTCTCCTAATTGTTCTATGAAAGGGAATTGTTTTGTTGCAGCATTAATATTTTTGTCATTGTGTATGAAATTCAATGTACTATCCAAACAAACTTCCTATGCTTTTAAATATAATTTCTCTCTTAAATCAGGACGTTGAAATCCTCCAAAAATAGCTCTACTTTATACAGATAGGACATCCAGATAGGCACAAATTTTTGAATCATTGTGCTAACCCAATACAGAAACACAGTGAACTGCCACAATAGAACTTGGGTCACTTTGTTCCTCCAGCAGCTTACTGTATGGCTGCTTGCTGCATTCTGTGCCAAGTAGGAAGCCTCGTCATCTTTACCAGAATTTACATAGTACAAGCAGGGGAACCTCTTTACAGGGTTTCTCTGTACAGGGTTTTCACAGCATACACAGGGAGCCACTTTTATCCCTATACAGCGTGGAAGCCAAAAGAGCTTGGTTGCAGTATGGACAGGAGGGTGAAAAGAAGTGGCTACTAGTCAGATAGCGACATGCTGAGGTCTCATTCTGACTTAATGCCCAACAGTCCCCTACTTGCATTCTTGTGTCTTGATTTGTATTGACTGACGAGGCGCTTGATTTGTATTAAACAACGTTCTGGTGGTAAACAGCTACTGTGTATCATTGAGTTACTACCAGTACTTTTCTCCTTCCTGGCTTTTAAAAACCATGGAAGTGAATAGCATCCCGTTTCCACTAACCATTGGGACTCACCACAACTTTATTGTAGTTGGGAGCCATTGCACAGCTGGCCACCTGTTTCTAATGAATTGTCATGTACTGAGTAGGTTTCATTGTTTGGCCCTCAGCCTACTGTTGGTGGTTTTGGCTGCCTAGGAAAGAATCTGAGAGAAACAGGTAAATATAAATTAAATCAATAATTCAAAGGATGGAGGCTAACTATATCATTGTGATCTTAGGTGGTAAAGTATCTCCTGTTTTTAACACAGCTCTGAAAAATGAAAAGCCAAAAACAAGACTGGGGAATTTGTGGCCTGTGACATGTTTGGAGGCTTCTGGCAAACACGAGAGCCAGGTTGTCAACTGTGACATGTTATAAGGATGTTACTCCAGCAACTTCTGGAGTCTAGTAGGCTCTCCATCCTAGGTTAAATATTGCTGGCGTGTTTAGCTATCCTGGAAGTGAAAATCATATTTCAGAAAAAGACATGCTGCGAAGCAGCTAGACAAAAAGAATGACGCCATCAGAACTCAGATGCGAACTTTTGAGCATGTAAAACAAGACAGAACTGTTAGGATTAACAATGGTCTTCCTTAAAGATAATTCTGAACTTTAAGATCTTTTAGTATTTCAAGAACATGAAATTATATAGCCTTTTGTAAATGTCAGCCTGCAGAAATTTGCTCTAGTTGGCTTGTACACAATGTGGTTCCTGACACATCACAGGATAAATTCCCTCTGGGAAACTGACACGTGTGAACTTTTTATTTTTCTCCCCATGTCCCCTCTAGGGAAAGTAATCCTGAAGTGTGCAGGTTGTAATATTGTTATCAGTTGCATTGACTCTGCTATTTTCCTGCAACTCCCTGCTTTTTGTTGGTACAGAAGTGGTGTTTCTAACTACAGTTCAGTGATGCTAGTTAGCCAATTGGCAAGATCAGTTCTACTTTGTTTTATTAATTATCTGCATAAGACTACACAGTCTGCGGTGACTTCCTTTTCTTTTACTGATTTCTGTAGTTAGATACCTAGTAAAGATGTAAATATAGGTTAGTAATCTGTTGTCTTAATGCATAGTGGAAGGAACATCGTTTTGTGTAGGTTGCAGGGTTGATAACTGGTTACACAACAGGGAACCCGCTGGAGCAGGAGAGATACTTACTGTATATGATTTCCTTTCTGCTCTGTGTTTAGGCAACCAAATGATGGCCATGATGTGAAGAATTGGGAAAGGTTCTTTGGATTATAGAACCCAGAATTCCAGAGTCTTAGGGCATGAGGTCATGTCGACTGGTTTTTTTCTTTGCAGTTGTAGTCCAAAAAAGTAACTCTACACTTTTAAGTTGCACCTGGCTGGAGCCTAGTGTTGGAGGTTCAGTTCCCCACTGGGCCTCCTCTAGCGTTGGAATTTCAGTTCCCCACTGGGCCTCCCAGGAGAAGAGCCACATCTTAAGTGGTAATCTGTTAGGGGCACAACAAAATCATGATGTCATACCCCACATAATCCAAAATTACTCAAATTTTGTACATCCTTTTAGCTCTGTATCTTCTGTCTTGAGCTGAAAATGTCTTAAATGAATACTAAATTGTTTTGTGTCACACTGCATGTTGTTCTAGTGAGCTTTTCCCTCCCTGTGGATCCTGCTCCCTTGTGTCTCCCTCTCTCTCTTGTTTGGGTTCTCTGGAGTGCCTTGCTCTGTTTCTCCTGCACCTGCTGTCTGCTTGTAACCCTTTTTGATCTGGGTATTTAAGGATTATCTGGGGGAGCCTCATCAGTGGGTTAGCCAGCTTTTGGATCTGACCCAACTCTTGCTTCCAACAGGTTTGTGTTTTTGATATGCTGCAATTTATCATTCAGTTATATTTGCATCCATGAGGGCAAATTTTTTTGCTTCACCCCCCACAGGAGATGATGAACAGTCGACAGAGATGGCTACCAGCTGGGAGAATGAGAAAGTGTCTGAAGCAGCAGCAGATGGCTTTATAGCTATTAAAATTGATACCCAAAGGTTTGGCACCTTCTTTTGTACTTGTTTGTCAGTAATATTTACTTTTTAAGATATCTCTCTCTGGCCTATTTGGAAAGACTTCATTGCTGGAGGAATGCTTTAGAGTTTATGAAACCAATTATTAAAACTGTATGTTAACAGAACAATTTCCACCCAAATGTAATTATTTTACATGTGTGCTTCTGCATTATTGTGTCAGCCAGAATAGTGATTAGGTGATGGGTAACCTTTACAGGGAAAGAATATCCAAAGTCTGGGTTATTGGAGGATTTAGGTCCTTTTGGGCCTCTTCTCATTCCCACAAGCCACTCTGAGAGGTGATGAGTGACACGTCTGTAACTTTTCTTTTCCTGGACAAGCAGGAAGAAGCCATACTTTTGTGTGCTCACTGTTCCACATCAGCTCCAATCCTAGGTTTCAAGCACAGTTTTTCCCACTCCTTGATTTAGATTGGAGTGCTGAATAAGAGAAGGTTCAGTGTCACTTGTGCACACACACATCTACACAATCATTCCTTCACTTACCCCTGTTCTTTCATAAGAGCTTTTGGAGCAGAGCATTGAGAGGGGTGTGCATATGTTTAAAAAACAAGTTGTTTGGCACATGCATCAGACTCATTGTTTTTTGTTTGTTCTATTCTGGTTTTCACTGATATTTTCTGTTGAGTCTTTTAAACTAGGTTACTTATGACATTCTGTACCAGATATGTATTTTAAGAATGTTTCCCCACTCTTCAGCAGAAAAGGCTTCCAGGGTGGAGCGTGTAAAATAAGCAGTAAAAGTAGTCCCTGCTTGAGATGGCAAATGGGATGGGAGTGGGGGAAGACAAGCAATCCCGGGCATCAGTTCTTGCAGTGACAGATTTCTTATATTATAATGAGCAGTGACAAAATCAGCAAAGAATCATCATGTGGCATTTTAAAGACTAATGCATCTCATTCAGCATTATCTTTTAAGAAGTGTAGCCCATTTCTTCAGAATCAAACATTTTATTATTCAGATATTATAACTACAGTACTTGGAACAGTATATAATTATAGACTAGACTGGAAATAGTTCAAGAGCTGGAGGAGACAAATAGAGCTGTTGGTTGTAGTGGACCCAGTTTGCCATCTCCCCTCTATTGGAAATGGGGAATGATATGCCTGTTTTCAGTTTAACACAGTCCTTTAGAAAAATGAAAAAGTGGTTACTTTTATGTATTAATTTATTTATTTTTATGTGCTGCTTTTCTCCCTATGGCTCACCAGTACTATTGCGCATACACTAAGAATGAAGTGTCTGCGTAGCATTGGATTGCTTAATTTCAGTAGAGAACTTTAAGGAGCAGAGATTTCTACTAGTCATGTATACAAAAAGCTTGGTGTTGCTTGTTATTTTCTGACAAGTCAGATAATCCAGGTGATTTGTTAAATGAATTGCTTCCTTTCCACAGTGAAGCCTGTGTGCAGTTCTCACAAATCTGTATCCTTTTGATTAAATGAAAGCAACGGTCTGAAGAGTGGAGGCCTTGCTTATTCATGAGAACCAGAACCTCTCTTTTTTGTTTTTTATTTTGAACTTTGGCTCATATGGAGAGGCTTCCCTACCCTTTTTCTGTGCTTTTGGAGGGGCAGGCCCAACATGCTGTTATCAGACATGTGCCCCAAGGTTTTGTGCATGTCTGAATAAGTCTAGTGATGTCTATCATTTTAACAGCAAGAACATGAAAGTATTGTTTAGCATGATAAAATGTTTGCATGAAACCTTGGTTCCAGCATCTTCGAACTGGTCTTAATCATCCTAGCTCATACCCTTGTTTTCAGTATTGCAAGACACCATTGATTATAATAATCTCAATCATGTAGCTGTCCTCTCACATGCACAGCTTTTCAGATTTCCCTACCGTAAGATGTGATGATCTTGGAAGAGTTCCTGTTTTGGAGTACAACTCCTAGAATTCCCTAGAATGATGGCAGGAGATTTGATGAATACTGTTGGACAGGCTGTCTAAGGAATCCTAGGAGTTATATTGTTAAAATTTTTTTTTGCCAAGCTTAGAATCTATTAGCACCTGTTATCCATTATAAAGAAACTGAACCTTTGTATCCCGAGGAAGATTGTTTCCAGTGACCAGTGGAAAGCTTTTATTTTTGTCCTCCTTGTGCTGGGTTTTCTGGAGTCTTCTGGCTGGCTGCTCTTGGCAACAGGGTGCTAAACAAGGAAAGTTTGAGGTTTGTCCCAGCGCAGTAGGAGCCACATGCATGAATCTTTTTCTGTGTAAAAATCTCAGGGAATCGTGCAAATGATGGTACTTTCTGAGAGACTGCTGAGAAAAGATACATCTAATGTGGAGATGTTGTTGAATTACAAAGGATTTATAGATGAACATTCTCTGTAATAATCCAACATGCTTTTTCAATGCTAGAGAAAGGGAAAGGAAGGAGGTGACAGGAAAGTATTTGGTGTGTTACTTAAATCTTCCCTGGAACAGACCCTGATATTGGGAAAGTGTGAAGGCAAGAGGAGAAGGGGACAACAGAGGACGAGATGGATGGACAGTGTCATCAAAGTGACCAACATGAATTTGACCCAACTCCAGGAGACAGTGGAAGACAGGAGGGCCTGGCGTGCTCTGGTCCATGGGGTCACAAAGAGTCAGACATGACTTAACGACTAAACAACAACAACTTAAATCTACCTCAGGAGTTCAGACGTTTGCCTATTTGTTGCACTGATTTCCTAGGTAGTCTGCCTGTGTGTTTCCAGTAACTTCATCCCTCTCAATGCCATTTGGTTTTCTCATCCTATTTACTCTGTGCTGTAAACAAGAGAAATATTGTCCTTAACTGTTTCTGCATAGATCCTGTAGTGTGTGTTCCATCCAGTTTCTTTATAGGAGACAGCGGAGTTCCCTTGGAGGTAATTGCTGGCAGTGTTTCTGCAGAGGAACTTATTGCAAGGATTCAGAAAGTCAAGCAGGTAACAGCCAATGACAGATCTCTCTTTTTTTTACTGTTGCATTTTTTTAAATTTAGCAAATAAATGACAAGTAACCCTTACTTAGTGTAAAACTGTTTTTAGGCCTGTAAGCCAATTGAGTGGCTAAGTAGGAGGTCCTGATATGGCAAGGCTTATAGAAGCAGCACTGCCCTGTCTTATTGTGCTGGCAAGACTTCATGCTCAGTGAGTGTCCAGTAGAATACTGACATTAGTCCTTGGTGTATGAACACTGAATCTTACTTTATTATGTACTAAGCTGGAGGTGTGACAATAGAGTAGTAATAAGGTTAAATATTTGTTCCTCGGAAAGTCAAGCTTTCCCAGCTTTTTTTTAGCTGTAGCCAAAGGAAAAAAACGGGAGGGAAAGAAATGTGGGGAGGATGACCTTTAACTTGTAGCCATTATTAGGTTTGAGACCTGGCCTCAAGCAATTTCTGCCACATAATCCACCACGCCTACTACCAGAAACTTGTGATGATCAACCCACTGTGCTGTAGCAGGCTATCATGCCTGTAACTGGAATGGAATTTTCCAACAAGTTAAACTAGGTGGTCCCCACAGTTATTTATTTAGCTCCAACTGCCTTTTTTAGTATGCACATTAGTGTGTTTTATGGTATAATATTGCTTTCCATACCAACTTTTCAGTGTTGTTCTGCCCTAAATCTGTATATGAGCTCTCTGTGGACAAATTTGATTGTTGTACTGTAGGTATCATGCATTAAAAACCTATAATTCTGCAACAGGTAAAGCAGAGGTCTAAGCTGAGGCACATAGTAGTCTCAAAAGTGGCATAATCTACAAAATACGGTCCCTGTTTCTTACACAGGTGCCAGCATCATTCAGAATGGGTAGGGCAAAAAGAAGACAAATATGTGAAAAGCATTCCTATTTTCAGTGGCCCACAGTTCAGGTAGTCTGGAATGGTAGCCTAAGGCTGTGATCCTGGGGACACATCCTAAGACTAAGCAGCCATATTGTGAGACCTGCTTCCAAAGAATAATATGACATTAGCAGTGCAATACTGTAACTATTCAGTATTAAATCCTGTTTCCTTCAGTGGTGCTTATGTCCAGGTAAGTTTGTAGCCTATGTTTCCTATTTGTAGGCTGCACAGAATGGATAGGCTATGTACATCATTGGGAAACTAGCTGTTGTTTTAACTTTAATTTAGAAAACGGCATCAAAAACTGTGTCCTGGAACTATACCAGTTACTTACAGCAACACCTCTTTCCTCCTTAGATGCACATGTTAAAAAATGAGGCAGTAGAAAGTTCTGCTTCATGTTCCTCCTCTTTATATAGTGTCACAGAAGACTCCCAACGCCAAACAGCTGATGCCTCTGAAACACAACCTGAAAGACCGTATTTAACCTCAGCTAGTAAGTATAGCTCCCTGTTGTTGTTGTTTGCCGGCAAGTCAGAACTAAGTTATAGTGATCCTAATAGGGTTTTCAAGGTAAGTGAGATATTGAAGGAGTAATTTTGCCAGTTACACACACACACCATGGGAAAGCTGGGCAATTGAACCCAAGTCTCTTGAGTGCTAGTCCATTACTGTACCCATGACACCACACTGGATATACCCTAATTAATTACAGTAATTTCCTACTTATGCATAACTGTGCATTAGAGACCTTTAATCCTCTTGAGAGTAATGTTTATTTTAAAGATGCAGAACCATTAGTACAGCATCTTTCATGTCTCATCATGTATCATACAACTGCCTCTTACTTATTTTCTCTTCCCTCCATGCTGTTGCTTTTCTTCACTGTGCCCTTTCTCATTCACAATCAGTGTTCCAGATCCTGAACTCCTTTCTTAAAGAGCCTGGATCCCAACAGGGACAGACATCCAGGGCTCTTTGGAGCACCAAAAATGAGTGATAACGGTGGCAGGTGAAGCGGAGGAATGTGTGAAATTCACTAATGATCCATGTACATGAGATGGGCAGCAATCATATTATCATAACATTTTGATTGTTTGCTCTTATAACAGGATTTGATTTGTTGAAGTAGTCAGAACAAGAGCTTTGTGTAGAAGCAGTAGGATGATGTTTTAACTTACGAGTAGGGAGCCATAAATTATTAACATCTGTGCTGGTATAGCACAATAGAGTTTTGAAACTTCATATCAGATTCCTAAAGCAGTCACTTCTATGGTGATAAACCTTTGAGATGTAGGGTTTTTCTTCAGCAAATCTCCTTTTCATTGATACCTGATTTTTATACTGTGTTAAGCTGAAGTCCAGATAAAAGAGGAAAATGATAGAAGGATTGAAACACAGCCCACAGATGACCTTGCGGCCAAAGTAGAAAGGTATGGTATTTTTTGGCTATTACGACCCAGCTTTTTGTGAAGGATTGTTACATCTGTAGAAGTTCATTTGATCATGTTGTGAGGGTTCGGTGTTGGGGGGGGGGTCAGTCACAGTCAATAAAGCACAAGATTTGTTTAACGGTTCAACTTTGTCTTCATTTATTAACAATTCAACATTAACTGGAACATCTCCTGGAACAGTTTCTAAATTCTCTTGGGGTCTAAACTTCGACCACAAGGGAGTCCAAACATTACTAACAAATGGGTTAGTTTCGTCCAATATCCACGGTCCAGATAATACCTTCTCTGGGATCAGTTCTTCGCCGTCATCCATCTCCGGTTCTAATAGTGGAAGGGTCTCCTCATCCCCGCTCCAACCCCAGAATGGGGAGCCCTCTCCCGGGCTGGCCAACCACGGTTCGGGTAGACCCCCATCTTCTGTAGCTCTGCGAGATGCCATGCCTTCTTTTCCTCTAACTCTCTCGCCACCACTTCTCTGTCTTCTCTCAGGTGTCGCTGCCACTCTTTAGCCTCAGTCTCCCCCCAATAAGATGGACGGGGTTGTTGTCCCTGGTGTCTCCTTCTCTCTGCTTCCTCATGGGGAACCTTTACTTGTTCCCACTTTCCTGTCCACGGGTCTTGGACCCATATCATTTCCCAACCACCCGGGATCTCTTCCCTCTTCGGCCTTATATCCCTGGCTCCCGCCTCTGTCTGCCCCTCCCCTCTTCCCGCCAAATTTCTCTCAGTTTTCTTAGACACATTTAACCCTCTCAGTGCCTGTACCAAGTCCCTAGTGTCAACCCCTTGGTGTCTCCACCCTTCTTTTCCTATCATCTCTTCCAGCTCTTTAGTATCCACCTGTTCACTCTCTTTCCTAGGTGGAGAAGGTGGAGGGGAAGTCTGAGTCGCATTAGCATGGGACGGGAGCGACGGCACTCCCACATAAGCCTCCTGGCCCTGGCTTGGGGTTTTACACATGTCAACTAGAACAGACCCTGTGAATCAGTTACTTCTTCACAGTCATAGTGCCAAATGGTCCTGCTCTAGGGGTGGGGATAGATGTGCTTGTATTAGAGATCTGACCAAAGAGAGAAAGTGAGAGTACACAAAGTCATATATTTTCCTGTAGTACTCAGCATTCTATATCCATTAGACTGCTGCTAATAGGATATAGGTAACAGCTGATAATGTGACAATAAACAGTTTTTGTCCATGCTTGTGCCTGAGAAAGAATTTTAAGTGATGAGACTACTTTTCCATAAGTATTGCCCATAGTGGTGTAACTTCTTTGTAAGTTACTGTATTTTTCGCACCATAAGACGCACTTTTCCCCCACAAAACAGGGGGGGTGGAAAGTCTGTGCATCTTATGGAGCGAAGAAAACAGATTATATTTTCCTGTTTTCTTCTAAAAAATTGGTGCGTCTTATGGAAAGGTGCATCTTATGGAGCGAAAAATACGGTACCTACCGTATAATACTTGGGATGATGCAATTCAATGGTGTAGAACTAAGGCTTCATCTTGAATTTTGCTACCCTAAATTTAGAGTGACACAAAAACTTGAAGAAAGAAGAGAAGAAAAAAAGAAAGAAGAACAGCAGGTAGAGTGTGAATGATTTGTTAATGTTGCTTTTTATTGCATCTTCAGTAAATTAGGTCCAGATTTGTGCCACATGGAACGCTGTGAACTCTATCACGGGAAAAAAGAATGGGATGATTTTTACCCATCTCCCTTTCCCTCCTACAGGCTTTGAAAACCTGTTGCAGTAGGTGGGGTGGGGGCCTTAGAAGATTATAGGAGCTAGCTTGGAGGGGTGCATGGGAAGAAAAAAAAGGTGCCCCAAGCTTTCTTATTGTAGCATCCAGTTAAATAGACTAAGATCCTTCACTGCGTCCTGCTCACTTTACCTGAATAGAAAGAATCCTTTTCTGTTCCTGGAACAGTAGATCTGTATACAGTTAAATGAAAATCTCTTTTAATGAAGGCTTAATCTAAGTGTATACAGTATTTGCATGGATATACTGGCCCAAATCCTGCAGGATGATTAATACCAGCAGAAGGGAAATGGCATAACTCAACTTAAATTGCCAGTAATCCATAAAGTTCCTACTTGGATTTCTGGTCACTGTTAACACATCCAACAGATGTGCATTGAGGAAATGGGGACTTAGTAATTAGCAACAATTCATCATGGCATATTACACCTTTTCCCTCCACCCATAGCTACATAACAGGATTTTGGCCACTATGCTAGAGTCTGTTGTCATGCCTAAGAAAGAAGTGCTCCCTTTTCATTTAGGAAGGAATCAAGAAAGAAATTGAAAGAAGAAGGAGTGGGAAAGAGATGTTAGAGTACAAAAGAAAACAAGAAGAAGAACTTACAAAACGAATGTTGGAAGAAAGGAACAGAGAAAAGGCTGAAGAGAAGGCTGCTCGGGAACGCATCAGACAACAGATTGCACTGGTAAGTAGTTGTTTATTATGTGGGTTAATTGAATTATTGAATCATCAGAGTACTGATGTTGAATATATCTTTGCAGACATAGGTATAGAATGTGGAGGTTACTTTGATTTTGAGGAGTGGTTATCATCAACTGAATATTTGGTATCATTATATGCCTGAAATTCATATCTATTGCCTGAACGTATTACAAATAGTAAATTGTCACACATGTATCACTCAATTTCAGATTAATTTGCAGGCCTGTTACTTGGCATTTGTTTTTCTCCTAAAGGTTAATGGATGCTTTTATTTTGTCACTTTCACACCACATAGTGGTGGATAGATGTCCACCAAATAGTAACTGCTTTCCGCTATTGGTTTCCCTCATTGCATAGGCAGCACTAATAAGGATTACAGTGGTACCTCAGGTTACGAATGCCTCGGTTAACGTATTTTTAGATTTACAGATGAAAATCCATTGAAAATAATGCCTTAGTTTGCAATTTTTTTCTGCAATACGAAGCAAATTTGCATTGCGCCTGCGACGTTTATAGTGCATGCATTCCTATGGGAGACCACATTTCGGTTTGCACATTTTTCACATTACGAAACATTCAAGAGAACACATTAAATTCATAAACCAAGGTATATCAAATGCAGTTCAGTGTTGTCATTACTGCTAAACTAAATATAAAGAATTAGATGCAAATTTAGCCATCCATAGAGAAGACAAATTGAGATCAGTCTGACAAATTTGTTGTGGCTAACATACTCCTAGCATGGCTACATCTGGATCCAATCCAAATAAAAGAACTCTTTTTACATAGATGGTGGCAGTGATTTGTCAGTGATCATTCTGAGAGGTGAGATCGAATTACTCAGAACTACTATAACATGCAGCAAATGTCTTTATACTCTTCCGAAGGATCGAGCAGAAAGAGCAGCTCGTTTTGCAAGGTCAAAAGAAGAAGCGGAAGCTGCCAAAGCTGCTGCTCTCCAGGCTAAACAAGCTGAAATGGAAGCCAGGAAAGGGGCAGCCCTGAGGGAACGAAGGTGAGTCCCCCCCCCTTTGTGAAACCTCCCATGTGTATTGTAGTACTATCACACTTGCTTTTGTTTTTGTTTTATTTGTTTCTATTACCAGTTAATCCCCCCTCATCTCATCTTCACTGCCTTAGCAGATCATATCCACTGCCTTTCCATAACCCTCACCCTCCCTCCTTCTTGGCAGAAAATGTTCTTGTTCTGCATTTTGAACATTATCTAAAACATTACGGATGCAAATGGGTTCTGCTGCTGGAGTAGCAGCTGGTATTTTGGCAAAATATTAAAAAGAAATTTAATAGAACAGGCAGCTGTTTTTATTCCCACCTACCCTCAACGCTCTCCCAATCTGAAATCTCAATCCTAGTGCCGTGGCAAGAATTCAATTTCGACTTCCCGATGGATCTTCCTTCACTAATAGTTTCCCTTCAGATGCTCCTTTGGAAGAAGCTCGACAGTTTGCTGCACAGGTAAATGAACATTTGTTCTATTTTCAAATTGACAGAGAAGTTCTAATGAAAAGTTATTATCTTTACTATTTTTAACAGTGATGAAGTAGATTGTTAGCCATAGCAGTTCACAGTAAAATGAATCTGTTAGTCTTCAGTGGTGTCAGAAGACTTTTATTTATATTCAGAAGTGATTAATATGGCAGCCTCTGAACATTTCTAAAACAAAGTGGGTTTTTATCTAATGCTGCCTATCCCCAGAGCAACAGAACCTACGTGTAGAGCAGGTTTCTCTCTTCTTATGTAGTCGCCCTACATCTATCAAAAAAAGTTTTGGATGTCTTTCAGAACATTTTTAGAGAGAGAGAAGTTGAAGGATAAGAAGGGGAAGTCTACTTGTTGAAGCAGAAGAGGGTTGGATGTAGCAGAGGATTTTATATTAGCCTGTTCTGTACCTATTCTTAGTCTCAGTGCTTTGGAAGTAAATTTTAAAAAAGTGGAGAGAGAACCAGTTGTTCACTAAGCATATATCACAGTTTCTGAGGGTATCTGGTGGGCTAAATGCTATGTGTGGTACAGAATATTTATATATGTCTGTCCCTGGTGCTTTTAGTTATCTCTGGATTAGCTCCAGGATTGCACAAACTGGTCTATTTCACATTTGGCAAGCTTGTGTGTACATTAAGATGCCAGATAAGCAGTAGGCTAAAGAGACTTTGTGTTAAATTACAGGTCATTTTTAATTCTTAAAACATCTTACTGTGAGGTGATACGGCATTTGCCTTCGAGTAAATGGCTACAAAGGACAGATCCTTTCCATTTTCTTAATATTTATAGATACATAGAAAGAACAAAATACAGTAGTTAATTGGTTTGTTCCATTGTTACAGACAGTTGGCAACACATACGGCAATTTCTCATTGGCAACAATGTTCCCCAGGAGGGAGTTTACCAAAGAAGATTACAGGAAAAAACTATTGGACCTTGAGCTTGCTCCAAGTGCTTCGATAGTATTGTTGCCGGTAAGTATAGGAGCATACAAGTCAGTGGCGTTGAGGTATTCACATTGTATGGGGTGCTGACTAAAATCCTGTTGCTAACTAACTTTCTGGCCATTCCTGTTTAGTAAACAAAGCATTCCCACTGATTCTTGGGTGCATGCGCCAAGTCTGTTGTGTATGTGTCCCCCCCCCCCAGAATCACAGCAAATATGGTTTGTTTACTGGCAAATAATTGACCAAAAGGTACAATTTGGCTTATGCTAAGCAACAGGATTTTTGCCATTGTTTCACAACACCATAAGAGTTCTTGGAACGTGTATTAAATTTCTTCTGGAGTACAATTTTCAGCTCTTTCTAAATGATAACTCCTTTCCCATACACAGGCAGGAAGGCCAGCTACAGCAGTTGTTCAGTCTTCCGGTGGAGATATTTGGAGATTGCTTGGTACAATTCTATATCCACTAATAGCTGTGTGGCGGTTCATTAGCAACTTCTTGTTTACCAGTCCTCCTCCATCCCAGTCTACTGCAGGACATCAGCAGCAGGAACACTCAAACTCTTCGGCATCCAACACTGCAGAGCCAAGCAGGTACCTTGTGTTGAGTAGTGTGCTTTATAAACTAATTTTTTCAGTTGTCCCTAAACCTTACACTTGATTCCTCTGGGCATGGACAAAGGACTTTGAGGATTTTTATTGCCACTGAACAGCTGTGAGTTCAGTTAGTCACATAGGTGTTTTATCCTTTAACAATAGGAAGCTTGCTCCTCCTATTGTATTGTTACTTTCCCAAATAACTAAGAACAGTTCAGCAAGTGTTGCATGCTCTAAACTGGGGTGTGCTGCTTGTGGCCCTTCAGATGCTGAACTTTGACTTTGTTTGATAAGGCCAATGTAAGTTATACTCAAGAATGATTGTAATTGTAGTCCAGCATCTGGAGGGCATCTAGTTACTTTTGTTGTGGAGCAGTTTCTTCATGAAAAGTGTTCCTGTACTTGCTTTTACCACATGGATTTCATCTTAAATGCTCTCAACAACATATCCCACACTGCCATACTTTGTCAGGGATCCAAGTGTATTCTTAAAAGTAGGGATCATAACGATAAGCCAGGCTGTTAATGGCAGCAACATGTCAGGGCTCTTGCAGATGTCCACCATAGGTCATTTCCAGTGTTTCAGTTGTTCATCTGAGTCTATTTTATGATTCACTGAAAATGAATAAAGTGGGATTGTAGTATGTGGCAACTCATGCCATAATATTAATCCTTAAGGTACTACACAGTTCTTTGTTGTTTTTGACAGCTGCCCTTCTGGATATTGCCTTTTATTATGTTGAAAATAAAAGTTACTTAGCTGTACCAAAGCCAGAAGATTGCAAATTCTGAATATGCAGCTCCATGAAATTAATTCCTTTTAGTTATAACAGAAATACAACTAAGTTATACTGTATTATGCTGGTAACTTAAAAAGGAATGGCATCTTTTTTTGGTGAAACTGCCTTTTTAGTTTAGTAGTTACAAAGATGTGACCTCACTAAATGTTGGAAGAAGCAGATCCTGTTGTTGAAGTGCAGCCTTTGCACTCTGTAGAGACTGCTGAGCTAGCAACAAGGTGGACAGGAGCAGCCTACTTTGTACAACAGGCCAGGGTGGGTTGTTTTTGCCTTAATTACTTTATCGGTATTTTAAAATATAGGATAAACCAACTAAACAACATAAAGTCAACATGATGAAAACTAAAAGTTAGCCAACTGCCATCACTACCTTTTTGCATTTTTAAATGCATAGTAAACCAACCAATGCAAAGCCAAAATAAAATCAGAAGTTTATTCTGTTCACTATTAGGAAAGAAAAATAACTATTATAATTGAATCTAATCTAATTTAGTTACTTTTGAAAAATAAGAAATTCTGTTTTTGAAAAAAAAACTTGGCCTTTGGAATAAAACCAGCACAGAATTACTTCAAAAACTTTCCATAGTGACTGTTTCTGCAAAAGCCTGGAAGTGGAAGGCAAAGGACTAGAATTTCAACAGAGCTGAAGAAATGGTACATTTTGATGGCTTCAGAAGATTTTATATGCATATAGAATGTTCTGAAATTGTATTTTGTTCTTATTTAGACAAGCAGTCAGAAAACGAGTATTGGAAAAGCGGAGTGAAGAATTCAAAAAAGAAGGCAAAATCTATCGATTGAGAACTCAGGATGATGGAGAAGATGATAACAACACTTGGAATGGAAATTCAACCCAACAAATGTAGTTTCAGTAAACTGTACATAATAATAATCTTTTTTTTTTCCTTATTTGATTTGAGTTAAAACTTCCGCTGCACAAGTGGATGTATGGCTGTGCTGCCTGCATTATACCATATTCATGGTCACAGCACACTGAATAAGGGGTTAACTCAGTTGTGTAACTGGATACTGCAACTGTAACTACTGCCAAAAGCTCAAAGATTGTAAGGAATCCCCATATGTCATCAGTGTTTAGAATTTCATACTAATTAGCCATGTGGTAATCTGAAGGCACTTTTTATCCCTCTAGATCTTGGAATAAATGAAAAATTCAGAGTATAAAACGAGCAAGTCTGACTAGCAGAAGCATAAAACCTAGTAAATTGGATAACTTAACTGGGTGAAAACCTGTTCGCATAACTACACCTGCAGAAGGCTGGTGATGTCAGCAGCAGTGGACTTCTTATTGGTAATAAAACCCTTCCCACTTCTGTTCCTCAGCTTTTCCACCTCCTGTGTCATCCCTTTCATCACATGGAAGTTGCAAAATGGCAGTATTTAATTACTGGAAATTGCTGTTGCCAGATGACATTACCAGCAAGGAGAGACTTTCTGTAATTTAATCCTACTTCCTTCTATCCTGCTGCTTCCATGCAATGAAAGGGGTTACGTGGAAGTCAGAAAAGCTGTAAGACAGAAGTAAGGAATGTTCAGTTACTGAAAATTGCACTGTCCTGGTGAGTCATCAGCCTTCCACAAGTAGTTACACCAACAGGATTGCCACAAATTTTTTTTCTTTAGTGCTTTTGCAACTACAAAATAATGCTGGTAGTTTTTAATCTGAAAGCATTCAATAAAGTTTTTCCACAAAAAACAAACAAACCCTGTACAATCATTGTCTGGGAAATTCTTCACTACATGCTCAAATTGTTGTTTACTGCATATTATTATGTCTGTATATTGATTCAAATATCTGTAAACCACACTAGGTGTAAAAAGTACAGGAAACAGCATTTTTAAAAAAGAGTTCTTAATTGAAGCGATGCTAAAACCAAAAAGATAGCTTGATCTATTTAAAATAAATCAGCAGAGGTTGATCACATATCGTAGGCAAGATAGAAAAATACTTTAATTAAAGGCCTGGCAGGATAAAACAGCAGACACCTACCTTACTACATTTCTGGCACTATGTGATCTTCTAGGAGGTAGGAATGCCTCTTCCAGAGGCACTTAAGGAAGGTGCAAATGTGTATTTCCCTGAATTACACTGGAAGCTTCAGCCCTTTGAATTGAGCTCAAGCCTACCTACTGCAATTGCTTTAAGAAGATCCTGTATCCCAGTGGTTCCCAGTCTTTAGTCCCCATAAGTTTTTCGATTACAACTTCCAGAAATCCTGGGCAGTACAGCTAGTGGTGAAGACTTCTGGGAGCTTTAGTCCGAGAACATCTGGGGACCCATGGTTGGGAACCGCTGATCTAGAGCTAACAGGTGGGTACTTCTTTTCAGACACTTCAAGGCTCTTTGCCCAGGCCAGAGGTTTCTCACATCCAAAATAAACAGTTCAAGTTAGTATGAACGAGTCATGATGACCTCTGGGTTCACATTCTCTCTTCCTTCATGCTTGAGCAAGGAATTTAATTTCAAGGAAGGTTCAATCCCAAATCCATGCCAGTTGAGCTCCCAGTGATAAAATTGCTTGTATTTGTAGCCTCAGATTCCCTAACCCCTTTCATGTGCCCCATCATGCAGTTGTAATTGCTTCATTTTAATAATACTTATGAACCTTAATGGGGCAATTTAGATTTTCTGACATTCACAGCCTGCTTAGTTAATAAGATAAAGCATACATCTTATTACTGAACATACATTTTAGGTTACATCTGACGTTCTCTTCTGCTTTTTTTAATCATCTTTGTGTACACAAATGAAAAAAGACCAAGGCCTAGTACAGCGACCAGGAGCAGTGCAAATAATGTATAAAGGGCTGTTGTGGCTTGAGAAGACGTCAGGTCCAAATCCAAAAATTGTACTGGCTTTATGGCAGGCAAAGTTGTGTTGCTAGGTGGCAGACTTGTACCTAGGAAGAAAGCGATATATAAGTATTGCCTCAGAAAGGTGGGAGGACTTATTAGACATTAGTTTTATAAGCAACTTGTTGCACCTGTATTCTCTGTAGACACACCCCTTCCTCAGTGGCTTTCAGAGTGAGTAGGTGGATTTGAATGAGCTATTCCAGGTAGAATAGCTTTTGCAATGTAGTTTGACAAGCACAGCACTAGAGAACATCCATCTAAGACAGTGTTTCCTAACCCAGTTATTCTTGGACTGCAATTCCCTGAACCCTTCACCACCAGCTGTGCTGGCTGGGGCTTCTGAGACATTCAGTCCAAGAACACCTGGGTTACACAAGGTTGGGAACCACTGATCTAAGGGATCATTGGACTGGTCCCAAAGAGTTGTGTGCATAATGGGGAGAAAACACTGTCCACCATCGCCCCAACGTTCCTAACCCAGTTATTCTTGGACTGCAGTTCCCTGAACCCTTCACCACCAGCTGTGCTGGCTGGGGCTTCTGAGACATTCAGTCCAAGAACACCTGGGTTACACAAGGTTGGGAACCACTGATCTAAGGGATCATTGGACTGGTCCCAAAGAGTTGTGTGCATAATGGGGAGAAAACACTGTCCACCATCGCCCCAACACATGCGGTCACCCTGTATGCCATTCCTGAAGCACAGGGAAGGGAAAGGGCAGGAAAGCTCTGGTTTTTAGAATCCAACCCAGTTAACTTTGTTGGCTTAAGCACACAGTTGTGGGAGTGTGAACATAGCTGCTGCTACTGCAGTAAAGAAGGAGTAAAACCACTTAACTTGCCAGAGAAAGCATTCACCCAAACTGAGCTTGATAGCATAACATATTACAGCCTTGAGGGAGGGTACTTCACTGAGAATTAAATCTTGTTGATTTGAGTAGGTCTGTTCTGCTTACCTCTCTGGATCAGACTCACATGCTTTTTTATTTTACTTGCTAACGATAATTTTAATTGTCAGATGTCAGTTTGATCCTTGAACATGTTGGCAGAGCTAAATTAGAAATTCAGTAGCATTTCATTAAAAACATAAGTCCTGTGATAGCTGCATTGGCTTCAGTACCCTGGACAGTTTCTTCCAAAAAAGTGTGAAGGAGCTTAATCCTAGGGTGAGAATACATTTTTATATATATTTCTGGAGGGTGGTGGTGGTATGACTTGGATTGTAGCCTCTGAGTTTCTGCATTTCTTTGTGTCACAACCCTAAAAGATTTTTAGAGCACACTTTGTCCCAAAGTACTCAGTCATAGCAGTCTTATTGTAGACACCGCTGTGGGAGAAAACATGCCTACAAACACTCCAAGAGCTGAAGTTAATTAGAACCTCGGACTTCAAATATATCTCCAAACAGTCATTCCTGTTATCAAAGGTTTTAAGAACCAGAGTCAAAATAGTTGTTTTAGAAATGTCACTGTGAAATGATCTTGGATAAGAACCACAAGAAAAGCAGCCGAAAAAAATCTTTTCCATATGCATAATGTGGAATGTAAATAAAATTGATATCCCAAGGTCTGCATGCCGGGTATATTTGTGCATATTGAACTGTGAGGCATGTCAGCATTCTTAGGTGTTTAAAATATCTCATGGAAGTCTCTTCTATTGACTTTTTGATATTCATCATTGCAACCTGGTAACTTCTCACTAAGAAAACCTCAAATTAATTTGTTAAACTGGTAAATAGAATGTCAGATTAATAATTTAAATAGCAATGTGTTATCTTCAGATACTACCTTATTTTCCACTGTGAATGCAACATAATTCAAAACAAGTTTCTATAAAACAAGAATAAAGGCGCTTGTTCTGTGGCTACTCTGTGAGCTTATGGATGTCATGTGGAAAAGAAAGTACACCCTCTTTGAACTCTGGTTTTATGTCCCAGGACATAATTTTCAGACTGGCTAAGGACCAAATGATTTAAGTAAAATAACCTTACATGAACAACAACACATGACATGACATACCATATCATGATTTATTTAACAAAAACAAAAGCCAAAATGGCGAAGCCATGTGTGAAAAACACCCTTACTGCTTCCATAGGAATTAAAAGGCTAAGTAGCAGCCAGGTGCTGCTAACCAGGTGCTTCTCCATTTTGGCTTTATTTTCTAAAATAAGTCATGACACAGTGTAATATATTGTGTGTTGTTCATCTGAGGTTGTAGTTACCTAATTTTCAGACTTGCTAAGGACCAGACAATTTTTATTATGTCCTGATACATAAAACCATAGAATTCAAAGAGGGTGTAGTTTGTTTTTCACATGACTGTATATGATTTATGTTTCCAACATGCATGTGATTTTTTTGCCATTTTTTATCATGAACCAACATTATCTGTCAGCTAAGTATTTACTTACTTTCTACTTGTGGCTCTAGACACAAATGAGGCCCAGAGGCTGGATCTGGAAAGCCATTACAACGGATGATAGAGGAATAGTATTTTGAAGATTCCTTTGGAATTCTGGGTAAAGTTGGATCTGTGTAGTTGGTATAATGTAATCCAAACCTCTCACTGAAGCCAACTGCCCATTCAAAATTGTCCATCAGGCACCAAACAGTGTATCCTCGTAAATCGACACCATCAAGTATAACCGCTGTGTGCAGAAATGGGGGAACAGCATGTTTACTCAGATGCAAGTCACAATGGGACTAATTCCAAAGTAAATTACAACAGGAGAGCCATGTCTGTCACAGCAGAAAGAACAACAAGGTAGACTCATGGCACTTTAGAAATAAACTCATTTCTATAGCATCAGCTTTCAGCAGCCATATGTCACTTCTGTATGGACTGTAGGCTTTATGTAGACAACACATTTCACTTTTGAACAATCAGCACAGAGTGAAACCGAATTTCCAGTCATACAATTCACACAAAAAGTTAAGGAGAGACAGCCTATGCTTCATGTGTTATGCCTCTGAAACACTTAATGAACACCATCTTCTGAAATGCTGTTGTGATATGAAATATCTCACTCAAATAGTAGTATTACTCATAGTATCAGAAATCCTTTCTAATTCAGAGACATAATTTTGTGGAAGTGAAGAACTTATGTGGGAAGTGTGTGTCTCCAGTAATGAGTCGGTGAGTGCCCCAACACTGGAGGCAATCAAGAAAAAGTTAGATAATCACCTGGCAGATATGCTTAAATTGTATTCCTGCATTGAGCAGGGGATTGGACTTGATGGCCTTGTAGGCCCCTTCCAACTTCACTTTTCTATGATTTCTAACCATAGGGAACCCTGACTTACAAAATATAAGCAGCAAGCTGGTGTGAGGTATTGGATAACTTCGTATCAGACTGATTGCTTATTGTGTTGTCCAAACCAGGCACCAGCTTCGGCTTCTTTGTCTGTCACTAACTCAGTATGGTGTAGTGAACAGAATGATGGATTAGGATGGAGGAGAGATGCTTTTGATTCTCCACTCAGCCACAGAAACTCAAAACGGTCAGGGAGGTTGGCACTGTAAAAACCACTCTTTAAATATCTGACTTATCTTGAAAACTCCATTAGGGTTACTATACATCGGATGTGACTTGATGACACATAACAAGCCAGAAGGGTAGAAACCCCGTTTTATTTCAGGTTTTGTTCAGATCTTATTGGGCTGTAGTGACAATCAGAAATGCTGTCTGATAACAAATACTTCATTGAGCTTTCTGCTTAGTTACCTTCTCTGCAGTAGGGTTCTACACACCAGCACACTGCTAGTACGTGACAAACCCGGGTCTTCATGTTTCCTGGCTAATCATTATGTCCCAGCACATTTGCTGTATTGCAAAGATTGGGTTAAACTGAATCAGACTAGATGAAATATATACACATGTTTAAAACCCATCTCAATGGTCTCAATATAAGCCAATGTTTCTTAGGCTACTGTCAAATGTAAAATATTTTGTTGTATGTGCTGTATTCCCAGCTATATTTTCTTTCTAATTAACCAGTGCCACCTCACAAGCCCCACTGGTGACCAGAGACACTCATTACTATGTTGTCTCTGCTCATTACCCAGAGCCTGGGATTACTTTAGCCGCCAATCTTTGTCATGGTTTATAGACTAATGCTTTCTGGCAGAGAAAGTGAGTATCAACTGGGGTCTTATAGGTCATTGCCAAGTCAACAGCTGGTGCTCAAATGCAGTCTCTGGTTTGGTGCCACGTATAAATGTATAAATATTAGCTATGTAGTCCCTCTCTTATATCTGAGGAAGTGGACTTGTCCACAAAAGCTCACATTAAAATATAGCAGTTAGTCTTTAAAGTGCCACAATGTTTTTGTCTTCTTTATTTTTTGTTTTTCTTTTGGTTTTGCCTGTATTTTGGTAGTTATTTGGAAACATGCAGATTGAAGGGAAAACCATTTTTACCTTTCAAAGCTTCATTGATGTAGTTCTTTAAGTAATGTATTCGCCAAGTGTCATTGAAGCCCCCATCTACCCGTTCCGAAATCCCATTCTCTGTCACATAAATAGGGGGGTTGTTGTATTCTTCCTTGATCCACTTCAAGAGCCTTCTGAAGCCAAATGGGGTCACCTTCAGCCACGAAGAGCCAGACCCCAGCCAGCTGCGGTCCGTTATGGAGGCAACACCTCTGCCAAAGAGAACACGAAGGGGTGACAAGACTGATGCATATACAATCTTGAAATAACAGGACCAAACTATATTTGTTCTCTTATTAGAACTGTATTTGCATTAGTTTTTCTGAAACGTGATTCAGGCAGACTTTCATGTTTAAGTACGCTAAGTACTTGCATGCGAACAACCTGCTTTGGTGCAGAAGACCAATCACAAAACACAGCAAGTTAATTTGCATAGTTCAGGAAGTGCCTGGGATGGCAATCATGCACCATCAGCATTTCAAGAATTCCTTTTTTTGGTAGAGCTTGGCCCTCATCTATTTATTCGACACATCAACAAAGCCAAGAGGATCAGTAAAGTCCTCTGCTGGGCTGGATGGGTTTGCTCAGTACAATGCCATACACATTATTTTTAGTTCAGATATAGTGTCAATATGCGAAGTGTGTATAGAATGATAACAAAAATAAAGAGCACGTGTAGAAAATGCAATCTTGAAAGTGTACATTGTGTTTGAGAAATGTGGTTTGAACAGCAGTTTGCTAAATGTCACTGCAAAACAATCAGCCAGCTTTCCATCCAAGTCTGAAACTGAGGTCAATGAGTAACATTGCCTTGTAATGTTCATGGCTGGCAGTTGAACAAATGATAAGAAATACAAAAACAATTGAGAAGGAAAAAATGTCCTACAGTTCTAAGGTGCAGATAGAACAAATTGGTACCTGTCCAGCTTAGTTCACTAGCACTTTACACCCATGGCATTTTGCCTACCTGGGAAAATAGTGCTCAAGGAACTTACTATTCCCCAAAATGCAGGGACCCACTTAGTAAGAATAATAGCTATCATCTGCTATAGGCAACTTGCAAGCCATGTACGTTAGTCGTATTTTGTCACCCCAGTTAAAGTAATAGACGTTTCCCTTGAACAAATTCTGACTGTTTACAAGGAAGCAGCAACTTATGACAAAAGTACAATTCAATTGTTTACAGCTGAAGGCAAACGTAAACCACTGAGAGAAATAGAAAGATAGGAAGGCAAAGGGATTCACTAGAAGATGACTTTTTTCTGTAACTTTTTTCACAGGAATGGTGCTCTCCACATTACACCACACCACGCTCTCTCCAGCCACTTTCCCCATGGCCTTTACTCAAAACACCTCCCTGACCTTGACTCCAACTGCCTTTCCTCCCCTTAACACCCCTTCATGTCATCCTGGAGGTTACGATAGATGGAGCCAAAGAAAAAGCACCCACAGGTGCTGTCCAAGCCAGTCAGGCAGCAATCTTCATGGCAAGAATGAGGATTTGAACCGAATGCTCCTGGGTCCACTCTTCTTACCAGTAGTAGACCATCAGCAGTTTGGAGTCAGCATTCATACAGATGGATCCACAAAAGCCCTCCAGCAGAAATTTTCCCAAGGTGTCACCACTTTATGTTCAGGACGCTGCCTCTTCCCACTTAGGTTCACAGTCCACCCACTCACATGACATTTGGGATGGTGGCCAGCAGGAGAAAGGTCAATTCACCAATCCAAAACAGGTGCGTCTGTGCGTGGTCAATCTACAGCTACGTCACCATGGACGCCTGTGATTTTGCCACCCCTTTCAGCTCAATTCACCAATCCAAGACAGGTGCGTCCGTGCGTGGTCAATCTACAGCTACTGTAAGTCACCACGGACGCCTGTGATTTTGCCACCCCTTTCAGTTTCAGGAATGTATAGGATACCCTATATGCAGTCTGACCTTCTTTAATTACACAGGGATGAGGAAATGATGACTTTGGGGGGGTGGGTGGTCCCATCCAGTCTACACATTTCTTCCAGTGCTCCTTCTGGTCAGCAATTGGAGATGAGACATATAAAGTATTTAAATGCCCTATATAGAACTGCACTCTGCAGGCAGGAAAGCTGTTATTTGGGGGCTTACTTCTGAGTAGACCAACATGAATCTGACCCAACTCTGGGAGGCAGTGGAAGACAGGAGGGCCTGGCGTCCTCTGGTCCACGGGGTCACGAAGAATGGGACATGACTTAACGACTAAACAACAACATCCTCTGAGTAGACAAACATGGAATTGAACTGTGCTTTGTACATTTGTGAAAAAAATGTATATAAGCAGTATGAAGTCAAGCATAGCCTCTTACCTATCAGCATCGTAGGAGGTAATAAAAGCAGGATAGTTTAAGTTGTACGTTAGTACTGTGGTATAATGGTTCAGACCAAAATAGTCATAGGTGCCTTTAATTCTCTGCTTTTCACTTTCAGTAAATTCAGGAAGCCTGCATCACCACCAAAAGAAAAAGAAAAGTGGGAGATACGTATCAGAATATAGGTTTATTGATTTCCCTTTTAAAAATAGGACTGTGTACTATTTTAACATGGCTGGATGTTAACATAAGTGCTGCATTATTTACCATAAACTATAATATGTGATTAAGCATAATAAGTGACAATGCATACTCCTCACTGTGTCTGTTCAGGCAACATGGTGTACAAGCATCTTTCTAATAGGCACAGACCAAAACTGAAAGTATGAATGGCATTGCAACCCATTCCGTGCTAATAATTTGCACAGTTGTCCTCACACTTTGAAAATGGATGAGATTTTGCAGATCTAATCACAGCCGGCATGCCCATGATCTTTGATCCTTAGGTATTCTTAGAGTGGTTCCTTGCCCCATCTTGCCTCAAGCACCATTCTTTCCTGTTTCCAACAACATTAAAGGATCACCATCCCAGGGTACTAACAGTGTGCTTAGGATGGAGTTCTCCTCCCATTCTTTGAGTGATTTTATGCAATAACCTCCTGAAAATGGCCTGAGGAATTGCTACAGTCACTTTGGCTGCTCCTGTCCAGAATCTGTCAGGGCTTCCTTCTGCAAGCATCACCTGGCTGTAAGGAGAGGCAGTGGAAGGACCACTCCGTTAGCACGTCTGAAGGACCCTTTTCATCAAAATCTTTTTCACTCCCTGAACTGTTTCCATTCTGGCTGGCCATTAAAATAACAATTTGAACTGTAAGAAGGAACAGTTGAGTTAGCTTTTTCCTTTGCCTTCCCCATCTCATTTTTTCCTTCCATGGTGGCTGGAGAATTCTGGGAGTTGGTAGTCCACCAACATAAATCAACACACGCTCTGACTATAAGGCTGCAGACTGGGGATGTCTTGTTTTATTAACTGTAGGTGCCTTAGGACTCAGTGGTTCTTAACCTTTGTTACTCAGGTGTTTTTGAACTGCAACTCCTAGAAACCTCAGCCAGCAGAGCTGATGGTGAAGGCTTCTGGGAGTTGCAGTCCAAAAACATCTGAGTAACAAAGGTTAAGAACCACTGCCTTAGGTGATGAAGGGGGTAAAAAAAAATGCTTTTTTAGATACTGTACCGTGATTGTCCCTGGCTTCTCTCCTGGATCCTCTTTTTCATCACCTCACTATAGTCACCGTTTTTGAAGATGGGATGAGCAAACCAGCCAGCAAAGAACTACGGCAACAAAAATGAAAACGTTATGTTCATTTTGACCAATATATTTGCAACAGGGTTTCTTGTGGAAGCAATGTTTGCTGATTCCACATATAACAGGCCAAATGTGACCCCCCCTCCCAAGGCTCTCAGTTCCGTTCTTAAAACTTAGCACAAATACATCATCGTATCCAGTAACAGCAATTGCTTCATCAGGGTTAATACTGACACTTATACTGCCTTTTATACACTTACATTTATATATCGGCTAAAACATAGATTTCCCAAGTTCCAGTCCTACACTCTGACCACTACACAACACAGTCTCTACACCATTATTAACCCAATATTGTCTGGGTAGTTACAAATACTGAATCAGGCAGGGTTGCCAGATACATGGATACCAAAAGGAGGACATAGAAAGACAAAAAAGAGGACAGAGGAGGACATACTGAATGTTTCATTTGAATAGTTCCAGATTAAACCCGCAATCAATACAATTTTATTATAATATCTGCCAATAAATGTCTCTTAGTAAACCAACCAAGAAACAGTCATGTTAAAAAATAAAAATAAATTCAATGGAGGCTTTTTTTTCAAAATACCAAGAAACATTATTTAAACAGCCAATTGTACCCAAACCCACCCCTCCCATCTGCAAGATCCCCCGGTCACTCACACTCTGCACAGGCTCAGAGGTAACCTTGCTAATCTGGACAGCCAAACAAGGCTCCAGCGCAGGCAGGGGGAAAGTGGCACCGGGCAAAGCTGAACGAGGCAGCCTCCCCTCCCCTGAGGGTCATAAGTTCAAGGCTGGGGAGTGTGGGAGTTGGAGTCCCTGAAAAGGACTTTGCACACACAGTCCAGGTGCTTGCCTTCCCATCGATGCACTTGGGTGCTGCTTGCTCCTGCCTGGCTCGGCAGGCGGTGCTCTGCTCGTGCTGCCTTTCTGGGCTCTACGTGCACTTGGCAGGCATGGCGGATTGCCAAGCAGCCGCCACTGCGGTGGGAGGGGGTGAGGGCTGTGCTCTGGCACTGGTGGCAGGTAACAGGGGGGCAGGCAGGTGCATGGGGGCAGGGAAAGACAGGGGGAGGGGGGTCCTTCCACCTCTTCCCCTCCCGTCCAAAATTATAACATAAAATATACAAAAGCCTGACACTGTAAAGGTTTTTATCTTTGCCTGCCAGACGGAGGACATTAGGCTAAAAAGGAGGACAGGTGAAAAAAACAGTGATCAAATTCAACTCAGGGATCTCTCAGATAGGAAGCTGACACATACTTAGCATTGTAGAACCTCAGAAGGAGGTGCTTTGCATCTAAGGTCAGAAACAGGTAATATACAGAGCCCATAATTAGAGCAGAAAACATTTTATATCTATTCCATTTATACACAGCTCGGAGATGGTATATGTTATATTTATGGTATAAATCTGTTATGAGATTTATGATTTTAAGTCAATCTTGTGTTTGGCTGTAGTTCTGTTGGTCAACACTACAATGAGAAATGAAAACCAGACAGTACATTGCACAATGGTTGTTGTAGGTTTTTCGGGCTGTTTGGCCGTGTTCTGAAGGTTTTTCTTCCTAACATTTCAACAATCTCTGTGGCTGGCATCTTCAGAGGACAGGAGTTAGAACTCTGTCTGTGTTCTGGTGTAGTTTGTGGGATAGTTGAGTATTTATAACTGTGGGATCAGCTTTTTGTCCTTTTTAAGAGATTTGGTGATTATGGTGATCAGGGTGTTTTTTGTTATGGGTCTATTGTTGTGATAAGGGGGGGAGAGATTATCTGTCATTTTAATTGAAGGGTGATATTAGCTAGTCTTTTGTGTGCAGTGATTACCGGTCCTTGTGGCTGGGTAGAGTTTGTTGACTTTTTGCAGGCTGCATTTTTTCGCTGCTGGGAGCCAGGCTTTGTTGAGCCTCCTGTCCTCCGAAGATACCAGCCACAGATACTGGAGAAATGTTAGGAAGAAGAACCTTCAGAACACTGCCAAACAGCTCGAAAAACCTACAACAACCATTGGATCCCAGCCGTGAAAGCCGTTGATAATACAGCACATTGCACATTGGAAATTACAAAACTTCAGTAGTTATAGCCACAGTGTTTCCAGAATGAAGTGGGAAAGCACTTCAATTAAAAGGTACAAACTCCAGGTTAGTCTTAAAACCAGTGAGTCTTGTTTAAAAAATAGTAGTAAATCAACTACAGGGAACAATAGAGCCATAAAATCCAGACATCCTGGGCAGTTGCAACTGGACTTTGGCTGGTGGCAGCACACCCCAAGCCAACTGCTTTGGTGAGCCTCTTCCCATCCCCCTTCTCGAGATGCCCATGGACTCAGAAATTGAAGGGGTTCAATTACAAGTCATTCCACACACCTTGACCAACATTAAAGTACACATATAAGGCAGTACAGTAGATATGCCATTTATTCTTGGGGTATGTGTGCGCTAATAGCTAGAGGTGAAAAGGGAAGCACAAGAGAGAAGGAAAGCAGAAAATAAGGACCAAGACAGAATGTTGCGTGCATAGCCCCTGTTTACCAAACACAACCTCTATTTTCTGGTATCTAATCTAGGAAAATGAATGTCCCTATTTTGTATATGCTTCACCTTTTAAAAATGTCTTTTTAATAAGGTGTGATTGGCTACAATACATAGTAGGCATCCTTCAGTCTCGAGAGACTATGGTAATGTGTTCTGAATAGAGGTATTGGGACAACATCTAGTGTGGCTGAGAAGGCCAATTCGAGAATGACAATCTCTTCCACACTGGAGACAAATACAATCTATCCCCTGTCCAGCTCCCTGATTTTGCTGCTTCCGGGACTGCCTCTTGGCCTCGACCTGCTGAACAAGTGTCTCTTCAAAATGGGAGAGGCTAGTGTTCAAACTGCAATACCCTCTCCATGGATCAAAAAAATTCAATCTCTCAGCAGGGGAGGATTGGGGTATTGAAAGATATGCACACAAGTCAACCTGATCCATTTCACTGGCGGCCTGAGTCAGAAGTCAAGGTTCTGCCACCCATTCCATGTACAAAAGCCACCTTCAACTTTGACAATTAGAAAGTATCCCTCATAACATTGAAGGCACCAAGATGGTATAAGGGGGTGGGGGCGCGTGTGGCAGAACAGATTACATGGAACAAAGCTCCAAGGCCTTGCCGGTTCTCCTAGCATCTGCTGTCCGAGGCAACCAAATGGTAGGTCTAACCCTGACATCCATCCTCCTCTAACTTTGGGTCTTCAGACGTTCCTGGACTACAAACCATATCATTATCATTTTGGAGTTAAGAGTTGGTGGCTATTGTGTCAGGGTTTGATCCTGGCAACTTCCAGTGGTCTGGGGGCCACTCACATATGGACACCCCACACCTTGAAGGACTGTGCCTGTGTTGTGATCTCCACAATATTTTTATTAATTTTTTATACTTTAAAATCTCCCCTATCTACAGTGGTCACATTCTCTCTTTTTTTAAAGTTCAAACATAGGTGAAATATGATTTTCTGAGTTTAAAAAATTTACAAAATAAAAATCACTGGCTACAGGGGCAGAGGAAACCAGGGCTACAGGGGGTCACATTTGGGTTTCTTAGGGGCAGACCATACAGCACATGGACTGCACTGTTTCTGCCCTTGTGTATATGGAGTCCTCCTATTACCTGGAGATATCTCCTGGCAGCATCAATGTCCTCCTGCTTGTGAGGGTTCCTTGGTTCAGCCCAGTCGGTGTTGATGCTCAGAGAGATCAGCCCTCCTTGTGTGGGACGGTAAGTATCATTGTAGAGATGCCAGACTTCAGCATGGGCCTTGATCAAATTGTGTGCCACAATGTAAGGTGCATGGCCTGGCCTTGTATAAATGCCTAGGAAAAGAGTGATATCAGAAAAGAGGTCACACTTCTGCCTGACTCAGGACTCAGCTGGAACCATCGTTAATAGTACACTTTAACTGTATTTTCCACTCAGCTTATGCTCTTTGGTTTCTTATTAGGAAAACCCCTCAAGAAAATATCAAATTATCTCCTTCCAGGAGGTCTCTCTCACTGTCACATTAGCTAAATGGTTGGTAATGCAAAGAACTCTCTGAAACATAATTAAAAGTAAGGCTTTCCATCACAGAATCATTTTCGAGTAGGTTCAAGTAATCTCTATGGAACTTTTTTTTTTTACCCATCATTCTTACTGAGATTAAACCCTGGTAGGAAAACGTTAAAGAAAGTCTACTTCCAAGCTGCTGTAGCAAGAGAAACAAACAGGTATAAAATCCCACCGCAGGTAACCTTAATACAAAAGCAGAACTTCATGGAAATCACCAAGGGATAAGGTGGCCCAACTGGCTTGCAAATTTTATAGTATTAACTCAGTCAAGGAGTACAATCTGAGCCCACTCATATAGGCACAAAGCTGAGTATGGAGAAACTCTTCAAATGTGTACCACCCCTCCCCCTCTCTACAGCAGTAGTGTTCAAAAAAACACCTTTTACATTTTTTCATGGGCAGAAAATGGATAGCTGCCGCTTTGTCTGGGTGTGCTGCCATGGGCCCAGCTAACCCTGGTAAGCCCAAGGCTTCTCATGACTCACTTCCTTGCATGCCCTGGTTTGTTACTGCCTGTGCTTCCATCTGCAGCACCGAAATTATTAGGAAGAGCTTCTGTGTGGAATGTCTGAAGAAAAGCAGGCTGCCAGATGTACTGAAGGGCCCCTCTGTATAAGGAGTTCTTCCACATACTGTTCCTTCCACTGAAAATTCGCATTCAAAATCCCTCTGTAACTTCTCCATGCACACAACAAAACTGACGTCAAGCCCAAAAGAGAACCTGGTGCTCTGACAACGAAAGGTCAGCAAAAGTATAGACATTGTTGGTGCCAATGTCACTAGGACAGCAAGTCTGCTCCTGCTTTTACTTTGAACATCATTTGAGCTATCCAAAGTACTGAAACAACATTGGAGCTTGGGTTCACCTTGGATGGTGCCTGCTGTAAAGGTTGGACGAAAACCCAGAACATATCTTACACTGACCTCAGCATTGCCGTTCTCCACGAATAAGATCTACCATCCCAAATTCCACAAGAGGTAGTGAACTAGAGTGGGAATCGAATTTTACTGCAACATTAGTGACGGGACAGTGCCCTCCAATGTAGCAGGCTAGTTTAGGGTGTGTAGGACACACAGCACATAAAGTTCTGATGTATAAAAAAAGGGGGGATTGCTGGGTTGCTCAGTTCCCCCAAGATCTACAGCCTGAAGCACCTGCCTCTTTAGATTGTGATAGGGCCCGGTCTGTACAGCTACATAAAATGGTCATCTCATGGGTTAAGCACATAGCTCTACAGACATGTCTTCTGACTTTTCATCTCTTCTGCATATCAGAACAGAGTTAGCAAAACATCAGACATCTCACCTGGAGCAGCTACTCCGTAACCATAACCATTATTAGCAGTGTTAAAAGGCTCATTCAAAGTTATCCAAAATTTCACTTTCTCTCCAAGCCTTTGAAAGAGAACCTCTGCATATTCTTTAAATCGCTGGACTATAGTCTCATTTTCCCAACCTCCAACATTTTGAAGAGCCTGAGGGAGGTCCCAGTGGTACAGAGTGACCTAGAGACAGAAACACATATTTACAAACAACCAGCACTTCGCCGAATCAACCAGTCATCCTATGGTGATAGGAAGGAGTAGAAATAAATTTTCCAGAGAGATGTTTAATTAAAGTCATAATTCAAAATAGTAGCAATGAGTCAATGAGTTATGCAAACATATAAGATTTCCTTTCTGAGCTGGGGCTCCCTCAGAAAGCCAGGGAACTCCAATAAGAGATTTTAAGGGCTGAATGGAGATTTGTGGGGAAAGGCTATTGGATAATTTGATTAATTTCTTTCATAGGTATCAGATACCAATGACAATTAACAGAGAAAGCATGAGAAAATAGTTTAAGCTTCAGTAGCCCACCCCTTTTCACATGATTGATACATGTTAAAATTTACCCTGCAAGCATTTTTAGTAAAAAAAATGTATCTTTACTTACAATTGCTGTTTATAGCTACAGTCTGTAGAAAAACAGGAAAAATGGAGTCTCTACATGTGGGAGAGACCCCTCCGTGCTTCCTGCATACTGAGAGGTCAAGAAAGGACAGACAGAGACTAACAAGCAAAGGAAGTGAATCAAGCAAAGAAGAAGAAAGAAGAGGCAAACCAGAGACAGGGGGAAAAGGACTTTACCAATAGATTAATGGGAAAGGAGAATTCCTTTAGTCCCTAAAAGCCCCCTCCCACAGATGCCCACTGTTAGAAAGCATGCTAAATTACTTTTATATCAACAGAGGAAACACGCTGGATTTACCTCATAATACTTGTTTAACAAAGACCCTTGTACAATAGTGAAAAAAATAAACTAAAAGGCTTGGGGTTAGGATGAGATGTTCAGAACTTTGCTGACACTTCCTAGCATCTGCTGGCTGAAACATCTGCCTCACTTTGCCCAATGGTAGAGTTGGGCAACAACTAGAAACTATGACATACCCGGACATTGACAAACACTGCTAAAATGTAACCTAATTAAAATGCTTATAAGGAGTCTATTTTTAAAATCTGCATGTAAAACAAAAGAACTGTTATTACCTGAGGCTGTATATTGGCTGCAAGGAGAGCATCAACAAGCCTTTCATAGTATTTCAGACCAGCTTCATTTATATAGCGGGTGGTTCCATCTGGCAGCACACGAGGCCAGGAGATGGAAAAACGATAATGAGTCACTTGGAGGCTTTTCAGAATAGCCAGATCTGCATCCATCTTGTGGTAGCTGTCACAAGCAACATCGCCATTTTCATCATTACTGATTCTCAAAGGTGTGTGAGTAAATTGGTCCCATATGCTGAGTCCTTTCCCTTCAGCTCTCCAGGCCCCTTCAATCTGAAACGAAAAAGCTGTTTATTAGACTTTATAGCCTATCTTTCCATCAAAGAAGCTCAGGGTAATATACATCTGCCTCTTTTATCCTCAGAACAAGCCTGTAAGGAAAGTTAGACTAAGAAAGTTTATGCGACAGGCCAGACCTGGTGCAGTAACCTTCACACAGTAAAGATTTGAACCAGGCCAATCCCAATTCAAGAGTCCAATAGCTACAACACACTGCCTCTCATCCTCGGGCAGCCACCATTATCAAGGTAAACTAATGTGGCTGCTTAAAAGTATAACTAAAAAGAGAGAGAGAGAGAGAGAGAGAGAGAGAGAGAGAGAGAGAACATGCATCATCAAAAAAGGAGAATAGAAACAGATGCAAATTTGCATAAAACTGATATGGTAATTTAGCAGGGTAGATGGAACTATTAATTATTGTTTTTATAATTAATTTGTTAATATTAATTTTATTTTCTTGTTTTTAAATAATTATATATAATTATTTAAAATTATGTTAATTAACTAATTATATTTTTATAGTACACCATCTAATGGCCTTCCCACTATTCTGGGTGGTTTCCAGCAGTAAACTAAACATACAAAGAAAGACAAATGCCACCCAAATCAAAAGTGTAAAATAAGGTATATCTGTATAACAAAATAACGGTTCTAAAAATCAAAATGGCGGCAAAGGACAAGATAAAGCATACAGGGTATAATTATCAAAACTCTTCCTTTTCCTTTTGTATTAATTTAAGATCTATACCATGAATTACCACATTGTTGAATGTATTATATGTATGGTCTTGTGGGGTTTAAAGTTTTAATCTGTAGTGTAAACCATCTAGAGTAGTGTCTGCACTAAAGAAGCAGTATATAAATCAAACAGATTAATTAAATAAATACATAAACAGAATTGCAGTGCATCACACTTGAATAGGGAGGAAAGCGGACTCACTGTGGTGAGTCTGCTGTTCATTGTTAATGGTGGATGGGCAACTTCAGAATCCCTGATTTCTGCTGGTCCCTATGGTTCTTTACCTTTCAATCAACTTCCATAAAGGAATAAGTATCAACGTATTAAAAAGTACCATTTGGAGTACCATAGGTACCTCACCCTACCGTTGGGCAAAGTGAGGTTTCCTCACCTGGTATGCTGCTGATGCCACACTCCAAATGAAATTATTTGGAAATTCCCCGTAAATGAACTCCTCGTCTTTTGGCAGTGGGATTCCATTCTGACGTATGATTTCAGCAAAATATATAGCAGAACTTCTTGGAGTTCTTGGCCTGTTTGGATGTTCAAAATCAACCTGGTGCAGACCAAATTTTGCCTCATAACCTTCTAACCATTCAAAATTATCCATTAAAGACCAGGCCACATAGCCTCGAAGGTTCACCCCATCCAGAGTGTAAGCTAAAACAAAAACACAAACACACAACATCAAAATAGATGCTATATGTTCCATACATCATCAGGCAACAGTAAGGAAGAAAATGTGAAAGAAAGAGTGAAAAGTCATTGTGGAAGAATAGATATTAATGCGCCCCACAAGCTTATTAACAGTAGTGCAAACACAGGCATGACAACTCAGAAGTCAACCCTAGTGGATTAAGTGGGACTTACTCCTAGATAAGTGTGTTAATTTTGCAACCTTAGCAAATGGGATCTCCAGAACACAGACTTCTGTTTGCAAATTCTTCATTTGCATGTCCGATTTCTCAAATACAATCAACTACCTGAATCATGTTTCCTGAATGCCAAAGTGAACATGAATGTGATTACAGCTCCTATGATGAGCTGTCTGTGATATATAATTTGGCTCTCTGGCATACTAGGATGTAACCCCACTATCTCACTACATAGAGGCAAACCCTCAAAAAGAAATTGTGGGAATTACGTCCAAGCAAATATTTGTAGGACTGTGTAATAAAGCCTGCAAATATCTGCCATTAGGTTTTGGAAGTATGCAGTCTTTTATCAGAATTCCCAATATATTCAGTGGCAAATATTCCCAGGAATATATTTAAAGTTTCAGTCTTAATGAACGAATGTAAATAGAGATGGACACAAATCAGAAAAACTGTAATTTATTTTGATTTGTTGTTCATCAAGGTCAATAAATCATGAATTGCAAATTTATTAATTTTTTTCTTACCAAAGGTGAATTGATTGTCAATTCATTTTTGAATTTAAAACCTGATAAAATGTCCCTGCAAGCACCCAGAGACACCACATTTGTGTGGAAGTGTCCACCGATTCTCCTCTACAATCCCTTCATGTATGGTAAAAATTGAGCTTCAGATATCCAGGTTATACACTCACAAAGAGCCCCCCCAGGAAAGTTTTTCCCCCATCACCTAGAGACACCAAAACCATAGAGAAGCTAGTTCACCCCCATGGCACCTAGACACACTAAAACTACAGAGAAGCTTTTGCTGATGATCCTCTACAATTCCTCCAAGTTTGGTGAAGATTGGGTTTCAGACAGCCAAGGTATATACTCACAAAGTGGGCCTCTCCAGGATAGTGCCCTTTATCAGCTGGCTTGGGGAAATCCAACCTTCACCAAACTTGGTCCAGGATAGTGCCCTTTTATCAGCTGGCTTGGGGAAACCCAATCTTCACCAAACTTGGAGGGATTGTAGAAGAGAGTCAGAGAATTTTTTTTTCAATTTTTGTGTCTCTAGCTACCTGGGGAGCTGTTTTATAACCAAATAAGTTGATAAATAAAAATCGATAAAAAAGCATTGATTTGTATTCATCAAGGGCATTGATCCAAATAAGTTGACAAATAAAAATCAATAAAAAATCATTGATTTGTATTCATCAAGGGCATTGATTCGTATGAATACAAATTTATGAATTAGCAGTTTTTGAATGAGTTATTCATTTAAAAATTTGTACCCGTCTCTAAGTGTAATCAATAAATTTTTAAAAAATAACATTTCCCACAAATTCCAGAAATGCAGTCTTGAAAAATGTTTCTTCAGAAGTATGTTCCCTTGAGCCCTAGGATACTACATTATCTCTCCTGTGTGCCAACATCCTACTGGGATTATTGTATGTGAAGCCAGACATGAGTTTGGAGATGTTGGTTGGGTATCGCCTAATATCTATCTCTCCAAACAGCCACTTCTGTTTCTACAACTTCCTTTTCAAAAGCAGTAATCCCAGCAAAATACTGGCCATAATGATTAGCCTTAGTCTGACAAGAACTGAACAGCACATCCTAATGTGGTTTATTTGAAGTTACAGTAAGTGCCCTTCATTTCAGTGAGGTTCACTTCCAAATCAGTTGACATATCCTAATGTGGTTTATTTGGAGGTAAGTGCCCTTCCTTTCAGTGAGGTTCACTTCCAAATCAGTTGGCTTAAGACCTGACCCTCAAAAACTTATCTTCTGTTTCACACTTGCGGCTCTTCAAACATGACAATTCCAAAGCAGTTTTCAGTTTGAAATCTGTGCAAGTTATATACATTGTGAAAGGTAATATAAATCTGCTGTTAAGAATGAAAAATAAACTCTCTTATTCTTGTCTCAGAGTTGAGAATCTCAACACAACAACATTCTTCTGTTGTGCTCTGGTACACAAAAGCTGAGGTGGATTGGAGTATTTTGTTTTGTTTGTGTTGGAAGCAATCCAGTGGCACATCTGGAATAAGACGGATCACCCAAACTTGTTCACAGTCCTCATATTTTCCAAGATTATCCCTCCCTATGGATTGCAGTAATTTAATAGGTAGAACTTAAAAGCATGTGAATGCTAACTATTTCAAACGTCCATGATTTAAGATTTGTAGTTAGACACTGTGTGGACAGATGCTTAAGAACATAAAAATAGGTATTCTAATAAGTTAATGTATTTAACTGGATTTCAATATTAATCATATTCTCTTGCACAAAATTTATAAATAAGGTTCAAGAGCTTGTAAAATAGACCATTGCTTTTGCACACATGAAATGCCAGTAAGTTTTTTAAAAAGGTGTGTGTGTGTCGAAGAGGCATTGAATTACATGACAAGGCAATAGATCTGGGTTCAAATGCTCACTCAACCAGAAAGTTAATCAGTCGGCCTTGGCTTAGTCAACAAACCTTCATGCTATCATACATCACAAACCTGTTTACATAAAATAAGGATGGAAGTGAACTCCATCCATTGCCCTGAGTTTCTTATAGAAAGCGTCCTGGCACATCCCTGAAGGGATTCATGGGTCCCTGGCAGTCATCACTCTGCATGGCTCCTCTCCTCTGACTCCCTGAACCCACCTCACAAAGCTCTTGCAGCAGGCTGTTGCTCTGGGCAGGACCCCAAGTTGGTGGGAGGAAGTGATATCCTCTAAGGATGGGCTGAAGCCTATCATCTCTTTCTATCCACTAGGACTGGATCATTCAACTGTGAGGCAATGTGGTGTAGTGATTAGAGTATTAAATACTGTAGGAACATGGGAGATCCAGGTTCAAGTTCCTATAGAGCTACAACATTCATTTGCAGCCTTAAGCCTGACCTCTCTCTCACAGGGTTTTTAGGAGGTTGTGAGGAAGAATAGAGCCTTATGTGAAGCCTTGAGTTCAGTACAGGAAAAGGAAGAATACACATGTAACAAACAAATACACACATTATTTGCCACAGACAAACACAGAACAATTACCTCCCTTCAAAGTGTGATTAGAAAGCAGCAGCTAGTCTCACAAGAGCAATTATCTTGCACCATTTTACCAATGTAGAAACCTCCAGCTTTATTTAAGACTAAGACTGCTTTAAGCTGGTTATATTGGGTGGCCCATTAAACCTGTCTGGTCTCTACAACTAGACAACCGGATGGTTACCTCTACCTCAGAGGCCAGTATTCTGTTGTGATTACCAAACACAGAACAACAATTGTGGAAGCTGTTATTACAGGGTGGTGCTGAAAGAAGAATTCTACCTTTCAAAGCCTCATCAATATGGGTTTTGTGGAAAAAGATTCTGGTGATATCATCCACATTAGCATTTGTGCTAACTCCATTTTCGGTGATGTAAATGGGAGGATTGCCGTATTCCACTTTGATCCAGTTGAGTACCCTCCGCAGCCCCCAGGCCACTGCTCGATTGTTGTTTGCTGTAGTCGGCCAAGAAGGGTCATTGTGCAACACTTGTTCTCGGTCATCTTCATAGGAGAACGGAGTCAGCCTAGTTGTCTTGTGTTTTATAATATTGGTAACATAATAGTTCAGGCAGAAGACATCAGCCGTGCCCTTAATATATTCTTTCTCTTCTTCTGTGAAAACCGGAAGCCGAGAGGATGGCAGGTTCTGCAGCTCACTTCTGTTTCCGACTTTCCACTTCATGGCATCTGGGTAATCGCCATTTTTAAAAATTGGGTGCGCAAACCATCCCACTTCAAATTGCAAATGCTGGTCAGCTGCCTCCACATTCCGGGGATCATTTGGCATCTCTGGTTCAACCCAATCTATGCTCATGCTCAAAGAGACCACACCTTTCTGAGTGGCTCTGTATTTCTGGTCATATATATGGTATGCTCTGGCATGAGCCTTCAGTATCGTGTGAGTAACTTGGTAGGCTGAGTACCCTGGATTATCTTTGACATTTGGTGGGAAAACACCTGAATCGTAACCTCGCCATGAAATCAGCAGAGGCTCATTGAAAGTCATCCAGAACTTGACCCTGTCTCCAAAAGTCTGAAAACAGAAGTCTGCAAAACTTGCAAAGATCTCAGCCAGGTCAGGATTCTGCCAACCACCAATGTCTTGTAAAGCCTGGGGCAGATCCCAGTGGTGGAGAGTGACCATCGGTCTGATGTTTTGGGCTAGCAAACCATCTATCAGACGATTGTAATAACCAACACCATAGCTATTTATGGAATTGTTTGTTCCATCTGGGAAAATTCGAGGCCATGAGAGTGAGAAGCGATAGCTGTTCACTCTTAAGCCTCTCAGTGAATAAAGATCAGCATCCATTTTATTGTAGCTGTCACAAGCTATGTCTCCTGTAGCATTATTCTGAATATTCCCAGGGACATGGGTAAAGTTATCCCATATGCTAGGTCCTTTTCCATCCGCATCCCAGCTTCCTTCAATTTGGTAGGCAGAAGTGGACACTCCCCAGCGAAAATCTTCTGGGAAAGTGCCGTAGAAGAACATATCCTGTTCAAAATTAGTCTGGCCAGAAAATCTTTCCCAAACTACTTTTGCTTCTGAGGGAACTTCAGAAGCTGGTAAACTAGGCAAACGTGGAGGCATGGAAATATCCTCTTTGAGTGTCTGAGGTGATTTCCTTGTAACCACTCTGGGAAACCCATTGTTTTCAATAACAGAGGAGAAGAAATATGCAGATTCTTTGGGGGTCCGAGGTCTGTCTGCATCTTTGAAATTCACGTAGTGAAGGCCAAACCTTTGACTGTATCCCGCTGGGCCTTCAAAGCCATCCAGCAAAGACCGGGCAATGTATGCCTGCACATCGACGGCATCCAGCTTCACAGCTGTCACAATAAAAAAAGAGCAATGTAGTTAGTTGTTTGCATATGTACACTCACACAGAAGAATCACAGCCAAATTCTCTATCATCACTACTGCAGTGATGTGACTTTGCACAGCTTCAGCACTGTTGGCCGGAGTAGATGAAAACTAATACTACTGCTTATCCCCAGTCAGGATGCCACGCTGATATATAAGACAATATAGAAAAGGAGTATTAGCATAATAACAACCTATTAATTCACCAAGCCAAATTGAAGCACTTTGGAACTGCCGTTTGGTTACATGTACATTAGCGCTATTATCTGGAAGTTGAATCGTGGCAACTGGACTTCTTTCTTATTAGGTTGAAACATTTCGCTACTCATCCAAGTAGCTTCTTCTGTCTGAGGAGAGTTTGGTATATCCCTGGTATATCCTCCACGTTGGATACATCAGGAGTCTCCTATCAACTCAGGCCTTCTCGGTAGTGGCCACTTGCCTTTGGAACAACTTGCCAGTGGAGATCCGCCTGGCTCCCTCTCTGGGTGTTTTCAGGAACAAACTTAAAACCTGGCTATTTGGGCAGGTTTTCCCTCCTGCTGTTTCTTAATTTCTTATACTTTTGCCATCATGGATTTATAATATAAACACCACCCTCGCCCATAATATAAATCCATGATGGCAAACAATAAAATATTGGTTGTATTATTTTTAAATTTATAAACCACCCAGAGCAGACCTTTGGCCTAGACGGGTGGGATAGAAATCAATTGATTGATCAATTGATCGATCAATCAATCAATCAAACAAACTCACCTCAGACTGAAGAAACTACTTGGATGAGTAGTGAAATGTTTCAGCCTAATAAGATAGAAGTCGCGTTGCCACAATACAACTTCTGGTTAACCTCACCTGGATGATTGAGAATCTTCACAGATATATTAGCACTATTACTTATACAGTACTGAGTTCATTGCTGAACTTATGAAATAACTCTTTCAAAACCTCTTGTATTTGAGATGAAGTGAGGCTTGATCTTCAGTGATTCACTTTTAGGAGTAAATTGTCATGAAGGGGCCGTGAACAAGTGATGAAAAGGTGCATGCAATGTAGCATTTTTTGTATCCATACATGCCATCATTCTATGAGGTATTTCCTCTGTGAGATAACAAAATGATCTCTGGCTTGTTGAAGACATTGGTGACTTGGCTTTCTGTCAATGGTTTCCTATGCTTTAAGTTCCCTATTGGTTTCCATGCTACTGTTTCCTGCTTTTTCATTTGGCTTCAGGGGACAAAATAACAGATCTGTATCTTCTGTCCAATTATAATAAGCCACCAGAAAGAAGGAATGAAAGAAGCAAGCAATTATTGCTCTACCAAGCCAAACGAAGTCAACTAGCTGTGCAATACTGCTTGATTATTATTTTTTTTACAAATGGTATATGACTTACGTCATTCAATGAAAAATACACTAGGTATTTAAAATATTGCTTCAGTCAGTTAGGCTAGGTTTGCAGCCTATTTCCACACAGAGAAACCACTGCATCTGCAGAGGTTCACTTTATGTTGGAGACAGATGACCTAACCAAGGGGCTGCGGCTCAATGTCAGCACTTGTACTTTGCATGCAGAAAGTCCCAGATTCAGTTTCCAGCATCTCCAGGTAGGGCTAGGAAAGAGCCCTGCCTGAAAATCTGAGAAGCCTCTGCTAGCATGGGTCAAGAGGACTGAGCTAGCTTGACCTGCTGCCTCTGGCTTCCTAGAAGGGAGCTCCCTCTGTTCTTAAATTCCTATGTTAACAACATGGATGTGGCAAATCTTAGAGGATGCTGTTGCCTTGGGTAAGGGAAAGACACTAATGGGATAACTTGACACCACCCTCACCCATTGATTTCAAACCTGCCTGAAGTATCCGTTTGGTGCCTAGCCCAGTTCATACGAAGGTCCTGTACCTTTTAAAGCCTCATTGATGTAGAGACGGTAGTAATCTATTCTCAGTGTATCATTAACCAAATCACTTCCATCATCTGTTGGTGCACCATTTGCTGCTATATAAATTGGGATCCTTGCCCCAGTGTATTCTCTGGATACAAAGAGGAGCAATCTCCTCAGTCCCCAGGGCACCGAATAGATCCAAGGTGCAGCTGTCTGCGGCCAGGACAGATTTACGTGTGGGGTAAAGCCCCCAATGTTCTGATAACTCGGAGTGCAGGCAGGATTTGCTGAGGCGCTGATGAGCCTGGAAGTGTAATGGGAAAGGCCGAAGAAGTCAGCCGTCCCATTCACCAGTTTCTTCTCATCGTCCAGGAAAGCAGGGAGTTTAGCAACTGGGGAAGAACATTGCTGGTTAATCTGCTCAATCTGGGATTTCAGGACCTCCGGGTAATCACCGTTAACAAATATTGGGTGAGCAAACCAGCCCAGCATGAAATGCAAGTAACGTTCAGCTGCACTTATATCCTCGGGTCTTCCTGGCGTGTTTGGTTCAGCCCAATCGGAATTCAGAACAATTCCCACCTTCCCATTTTGTTTGGGGCGATACTGGGCATCATAAATATGCCAGGCTTGAGCGTGAGCTTTGAGAATAACATGAGCCACCTTTAGAAAAGATAGAAAAGCATATGTTAATTTGCTGAACACCAAAAAGATTCAATTTCCAAGCTCTGCTTGATATAGGCTAACTCCTACTCTGCATGAGGAAGTTCCCTGTTTCAGTCAATGGGATCATAGATAAAAAGACAGGGCAAGGCCTTTAAAAATGTTGGCAGTGCTGGCTTCCTTTCAAACACAAAGCCTTGGAAATATGACTACGTTAGATGCTGTTAGACTACAGCCCTCATCAGCTCTAGCCAGCAGAGCCAAAGGTGAAGGTTGATGGGACATGGCTCAACACTATGTAGAGGGTCACACATTCCTCAGATAGGGCAGCTTCACCTGCACATCCCATGCAGACGTGTAAGGCCTTCAAATTACATTCAAGGCCCACTTACTCTCATCGGGCTTACACAGTAAACATTGAACATTATGAACTGATTCAGTGAAGCAACGAAACAATTAAAAATGCTTCTAATGTTAGTTCAAGTCAAGAGCAGTGGACCTGAAGGCTCTTTGCTCTGCTCCTCAATGAGAATTCTTAATACCATTAAGAAGTAACAGATCCTTCAAACAGAAGGCAGACAACGCCTGCCTTCCCTGATTGCTTGCCTGCCACTGCACCTAGTTCTATTCCAGGCCTTCCATTCTTTGAACGTGAACACATTTAGTTTAATGAGGAAGCCAAAGAAAGAGTTTCCAAAGGTACATTCTAGACAATATAGATTTTTTTTGTTATCATATTATCTGATTTCTAAACTAGATAGGGGTTTTTAGAAAACTCAGTCACACTCTTAATAAGAATGGTGACAAGCTGAGGTGTCTCTGTGCGCTGTGGGCTTGCCCGTTGGCAGCAGGTTTAGGACATTATAGGTTACAGTGTAGTAGTTGGTGACCTCTGCTTCCCCAATGACTTCCCCTGGCAATCAGAGACACGAGGGCCAGAAGCAACTGAGCCTACAGTGGAAGACTTCATCACTTTCGTTTGGGAAGCATCTGCTTGTCCTTCAGGGACCCCGTCTCCCAGCTATGTATAGCTTAGGGTAAGCTACAGCATTGTCATGTGTACCTCATATGATGCTACTCCTGGGTCAACAATTCCTGGAGGATGCTGTCCAGTCCCATAGCCAGCGTAGCTGATGACCCAGGGTTCGTGGAAGGTAATCCAGAATTTAACTCGATCCCCAAAAGTAGCAAAGCAGAAAGACGCATAGTCTACAAAGGCACTTATGATGCTCTCGTTTTGCCAGCCGCCTAAGTCCTGCAGGGCTTGAGGAAGGTCCCAGTGGAACAAGGTCACCATAGGTTCAATGTTAGAATCCAGCAAGCCATCTATGAGTTTATTGTAGTAATCCACTCCTTGAGAATTCAAGCTGTCCTTATTCCCACTGGCAAAAATCCTAGGCCATGATATAGAAAATTTATAGATTTTTGACTGAAGGCCTCTGAGCGCATAAAGATCGTACTCTATTTTGTGATAGCTATCGCACGCCACATCGGCTGTTTGATTCACATAGGTGTGACCTTGATGGCCATATCGGTCCCAAATACTTTCTCCTTTGCCAGCTTCTGCCCAGCCACCTTCAACATTAAAGGCTCCTGTTGAAGTGCCCCAAAGAAAATTGCTCGGGAAAGTATCATGCAAAAAAAGGTCTCTCTCTTCCACAGACTGATTACTAATTTTTTCCCAAACCATTTGGTAGGATGAAAGTGGGGTGATGGCTGATATCAATGCCTCCTCTGGCTTTGACTGGATGGCTAGATTTTCTGCGTAGGAGCTTCAAAAAGAAGAAGAAGAAGACAATGGTTATATGAGAATATTTGGATGGCTAGATTTTCTGCATAAGAGCTTTAAAAAGAAGAAGACAATGGTTATATGAGAATATACTGAATAACTGAAAACTTCTATGAGAATTACATTTCTCCTCAGATCCCAAAAGCAAGAGAATCATTTCATGGCATTCAAGTAAAATGCAGAGCTGAAATTGTCTCAGGTATTTCAAACACTAGAGATCAAGCTGAGTTCCATACAAATATTTTAAACATGGAAAATTGGCACAAACCCAATTATTGGTAAGAGCAAATGTTGGTTTGCAGATTTTGATGAACACATTCGAATATAAGAAATCCAAATTACATCGCTAGAGATCTAGCAAGACAAGCTCATATGCATCAAGGCTGCTGATCCAACATAATACCTACTAAGCAAAATCTATGCTTGTTCCATGGCTAAGATCCATGCTTGCACCACACAGTATCTACGCAACATACTTACAGCCATTTAAGCTATGACTGTTAAAGGGATATCAGATGGTTATAGCAGTATATAATTAGTTGACAGCTGAATGCACTTGTCATGAATATTACATGGACAATTATTCTTTGTGGCTCTGGATGATATATCAACCTCTGTCTAAGAAGCCCTGGATAAAAAGAAACTCAGTGTTCACAGCACTGTATTGGTCATACACAATTGATTACAGTGGTGCCGCGCTTTACGATTGCCCCACATTACGACGAAACTGCATTACGACAATCTTTTTGCATTACGGCGATCGCAAAATGATGGTCTGAATGGGGTTTTTTGCTTTGCGATGATCGGTTCCCTGCTTCGGGAACCGATTCTTCGCAAAACGACAATTTTCCTCCAGCTGATCGGCGGTTTCAAAATGGCCACCGGGTAAATAAAATGGCTCCCTGCTGCTTTCTGGGACGGATTCCTCGCTGCACAGGCACCGAAAATGGCTGCCCTATGGAGGATCTTCACTGGACGGTGAGTTTCCAGCCCATTGGAACGCATTGAAGGGGTTTCAATGCGTTTCAATAGGCTTTTTATTTTTGCATTATGTTTTCGTTCTACAACGATTTCGCTGGAACAAATTAACGTCGTAATGCGAGGCACCACTGTAGGTTAAATGGGTTTCGAATAATACTGTAAAATGGTACCAATTAAGTTAAATGGGTTTTGAATAATACTGTAAAATGGTACCAATTAATGGACTGCCAAATAAAATTAGATTGAGGCCACTTTATGCAGACCGCTGTATTGGAAGGAGTGACAGATCTCACATGACAGTACCTCACATTCCAAGGAGGGCAGCTCACCTGGACGTTCATAGTTGACTGGGTTACAGGGGTTTCATATATTACCACAGCAATTTGAAAACTAATGCAAGACTGTTCTCCCAATGTCTTTTTCCAAGTTGCCGCAGTAACAAGCAAGGTAAGAACTCAAGACTCATCATGTTGCTATTCCTCACACATGTTTAAGTGGGTGGTGGAGTATTTTCCAAGGTTTCTGTGCATGCTAGTTAAAAAACCCATGTGTGTGAATCATGGAGAGCATGAAGAAGAACCAAAGCCTACATTTCGAGCCTATGCTGTAGTTCAGAAAAACCTGTCTTCCATTCACTACCTCTTGAGTATCACAGAGTCTGTTCAGAAACATTTTATAGTGTGCAACATTATATAGAACTCCTGAGAAATGGAGTTCTAGGATTAAAAGCTCCTGAGAGATGGAGTCATAGGATTAAAATCAGAAGCATTTATTGTGTTCTGTTTAGAAAAAACACCAGAATAGAATAAATGCTTCTGTGATGCCCTATGATAACGAAAAATCTCCCTTTGGCATACTTTTAGGCATTACTCACTTGTTCTGTTTACAAAGAGATGGCGCCACTGTTACAATGCAGACATATTTTCAAGCAAAAGGGCACAGTTATGACACAAATAATACTGAGTTACTAAAAAATGCCACAGATAAATAACCATTAGAAGCCTACCATGCTGCTTGAATGGGTGAGTTGTCCAAGAAAGAATTCACATCATATCCTATGACCCATGCTTCATTTTCATAAATCGCTGAGGAAATAGGAAGGTGGAATCAAGCACAATCAAAAGACACGGAAGAATAGACTTCAGTTAATTATTCTCAGTCCATCTTTTTCATTAAAATCTTTTTCATTAAAATTCCACCACCGGCAGGGCTGGTCTGAGAGGATTTCCTGTCTCCCATCATTCCAACTGTGCTCCCACCTTTCCTTCTATAGAAGCTGACCTGATAGATGGATCTTATTTCCACATTAGCAATGCATTAGCAATATCCTTCACACCTGAGGACAGCCATCTAATTATGGGCACCATGTGGGGTACACACCTTTCTGTATTCTCACTGCTGCCTCCTACCACCCAGCGCCTGCTGCTTGAAGGCATTGCCTCACGCTGCCTAATGAAAGGGATGTTCCTGACTGAAATCATTAGCAAAGTTTTCTTGGATAGTAATGGCCTAAATAGGTTGCAACATGCTCTTTACTACATTTTATTTTACTTGTTCCTGAGATTTCAAAACTCTGTTCTTCCTCATAGAAGGCACTTACCACTAAAAATAGAAGCCACGGCTGTAGGCAGGTTTTCTTGCATGGAAGAACATTCATGGAAATGTAGACTGAAGAGCAAAACTTGCATATTGCTTCTAACATGCTGTAAATCAAAAATGTATCAAGCTCCCAACTTTCAGGGGGAGTTGTCACAGACGTATATTGTGAATCATACATAATGTCAAGTTAAAAAGTGAGGCCTGAGTTAGAAAATAAGAATTGTGCAGAATTTTGGAAAATGCAGATGATGATTCTTCTGTGAGACAAACTCTCTATTCCCCAAGTTCACAGGTAAGTCTGTGATCCTCTGCATACTCAGAGGAAGCACAGTTAAATATGATGAGATTTATATCCATCACTGGGCTGCACATGATTTAACCCAGAAAAGCTTCTAGACTTGCTTTTCTGGTGTATTCCACAGAATCCACCCCAGTGCACAACCCGTACCTCTATTTCTTCGTCTAAAAGTCCAGCTCTGGAGATGCAATTCCACCCCTCTAGCACCACATTATATTTAATCAATGCAGTAAAATCTAAATGAATCCAGGATGCTTTGCATTTCTTGTTCAAGAGTTCATCTTCAGGATGTTGCAAAATAACTTACTGTAATTGCTCAGAATTACCTGCAATTCATCCAGCATCTTTTCAATACTTGCTTTCCTTTTGCAGTTGTACTGTAGACTGAGAGATAAGAAATCTAGAAAGTCCTGGGGCAGAGGGATTAAAAGGACAACAGAACATTAGCGCAGAGTGGTTGTAATTGTTAGCAATGAGGTAGCAAGTGTTCATTATATCAGTGGTCCCCAACCTTGGGCCAGTGTTCATTATATTACACTTGGAGCCCTAGAAAACATCTGTATTTTTTAAATGTTTAGCTGTATTCAGTGGCTCAGGATAAAGGAACTGAAGTGAAATGGAAGAATAGCACACACACACACAGACACACACACAGACAGAGAGAGAGAGAGAGACAGACAGACAGACAGACAGACAGAGACGACTTTGTTGTGAGGCAGAATTTCTTGGTATGTAATTTCTTGTAGTTGTTAATCACGACTTTGTTGTGAGGCAGAATTTCTCGGTATGTAATTTCTTGTAGTTGTTAATCACAGAAAATAAGGACAAATTCATGCTTATTTCAGCTTTTGCAGATATGTTAACTACTCTCAGACCTACATGCGAAGGACAATAACAGGAAATATATAATATGCAAAAAAGTTCTTGATCCCTAAAATAAAGTAAGAATTCCAGATTTCACAGGTTTGTGAAATGCACTACATTTTCTCCATATGCGTAGAAAGCAATCCACCACCTGGAAAATCCAAAGTAAGCAAACAGATTAATCAACCAAACACATGGGGGCATAGATCCACACACAGTATAAAATGACTTAGATGGGCCTTTAGTCTGATGCAGAGAAGGGCTTTTCTTTATGTTCTTGCCTGATACAGTGAAATTTTTAAATCAGTTATACTCAGTCTGAAACATTTCCTTTGTTGTCTTTTTAAACAACCTTAACATGGCTACCTGTCTAGAAATTCATTTTGTTTAGTTCTTTTGAATTAATCTGCTGCCCCCAGAAGAAAGGAATGGTAAACCCCTGCTGCCCCCAGAAGGAATGGTAAACCACTTCTAAGTAATCTCTGGGCCTGGAAAATCCTTAGAGTCACCGTAACTTAAAATTGACTTGATGGCATGCAGTTGCAATTGACTTTTATGAAACAGTTTCTTTCCACTGGCAGAATGGATTCCCTCCTTTCCCAGTCTCTTTTCTCAACCTCCACCCATTAAGTTGTCTGATCTTGCAGAGAATATCTGAGAAGGTCATGGATATAATACTCTTGTATGCTTATGTTTCTGGCATATTACATTTCTTCCATTCAGCCCAAGTGATTTGTTATTGCTGCCCCCCTTCCTGATCCAACTACAGAATGCCTTCACAACCTTTGGCCAATTGGAGCAACACACAGCCACTTAATCTGACATAATCTCAGCAATCTCAAATCAGCTGTAAAAACAGGCTTATTAAATTTACAATGGCTGCATTTGTCCTGTGGGGGATGAATTTACAATTCATGCAGGGCAGAGTTACCATGAATAAAAACTTCAGGATGGCACCTTGTTATTTTTCTCTATTAAGTATGTGTTTAATTTAGGAAGAATCATAAAATAATAAAATGAATCACCAAAATGGAAGCTAAGAAAGATCCTGGTGGCACCAACACAGCATCATGAATGTCTAATGAAATGGACACTCTTCCATCTGAAAGACAGGAGAGAAAGAAAAAAGACTATTATCAAGTGTTACTTCAGGTCATTGCTAGTGGAGGGGAAAAAATCTTCCAGTCAAAATGCATGCTCATTGTGCAGTTCAGTTGCTTGTTTATTCCTCTCCTTGTATGAATTAACTACATCATAATCTTAACAGATAAGGCAACATTTTTTTGGGGGGGGGTAGGGGAAGCATATTTGAACCAACAGATTGCCATGACTTTAGATCCTTTTTTTAAAAAGAAAGTACTGAGCACTTATTGGAAAATAGAAAAACAGAATGTACATGGGGATTTTAGAGAGACAGAGTTCAGGTTGGCAAGTCTAGAATTGTTAAAACCAGCAGCAAGGATGCATGAGGTGACAAGGGTGGCTAAATGAGTAAGAAGGCTAGGCAGATTATTGAGGGTGTTGAAGGAAAGGCCAAGTTTATGTTAGATATGAAAACCAATTAAGAAACGGTTTGTAGGGATCTATGGAGGTGCCAAAATCACATGCTCCAGGTAATGAGAGATACACTGAAGATTTTTAGAGCAGAAAATGTGGACAGATATGCCATAACTTCTGGAAGATGAGAAAGAAGAGGTGGCAGCAGTTTGGGCTCAAGTCCATATGAGCGACTAGAGGAAGCCCGGATTTTCCGTTGTATATGGGGAAAAAAATCCTGATTCAACATCTGTAGAAAGGAGAGGTCTTGCGGATCATCCTGCCTGCCAACACAGTTCTGGTTCTATCTGTCTCCTCTCCATACTTCATTCTCAGTGAAGGGGGAAAAAAAAACTAGGGCTAACCATTTATTTAACGTGATTTGGCCCCCAAATCACTAAAACAGTGGGCATGAAAAGAGGTACCTCCATACTAAGATGTTCCCCCCCGCCACAAGAAAACAGTAGTCAATTGTATCAGAGGTCAAAGATACAAAGATATTGGTGCATCATTTTGTTAATAAAAAAAAAGTGTAAGGAGGTTTGGAGGTCTAAAGTATAGCTGGAAGAGTAAAACATTGAGAGTTTTTAATAGCGCAATCCAGATATTTTGAACCAAAGAGTATAAAGGAAATGGTATCAGCACAGAATGGCTCAGAACAGTTTTACTTCTGTTCTTTAGAAGAAAACTCTTCTCCCCTGACTCTGCTAGGGAAAGAGGGGCATCTCTTGGGACATTTGGTGTCTAGAAGCCTTCACTTGTGAACCTTTCTGGGCAACTTTGGATGAGGCACAACCTCTCACCCTAACCTACCTAGTAGTTGTTAGCTTGGTTTACTGCTGGTAAGAGGACCAGCAACGAAAATAAACCTCAGAGGAAGCGCCCAGGCCACTCTGATGGAAAACCACATAAAATGGGGAAGACAAGGGCTATGTATGTTGCCTTAAACTCACTGCAAGGAAGATAAATGTAGAAAGAAAAACACTTTAGCAATACCCTATCCCCATCAGCATCTCATCAGGAAAAAAAGATACATACATTCCCCCCCCCCAGCATTTACCTTCTGAAGAATAATTTTCATGGTACATTTTATATGCCTTTTCATGCGCTGTTGCGAACACCTGGAGAGGATTGTCTAGTGGATCCCCATGACTCAGTCCTTCTGCAACTTCAGGCAGGTTGCTGAAAGTGAGCCAGGTATCCACCAAGTCACCAAACGACTCAAAAGAAAACTTGGCGTATTCCACAAAAAGGTCAACGAAAGTTGTAGACTCGGTCAGCGATAACTGGGGGCCCAAAGACTTGGGCAAGACCCACTGATTTAAGACTAAAACTGGCTTAAGCTGAGCAGCACGGAGGGTCCTGAGAAGTTGTCTGTAGCATTCAACATTAGCCTTGTTGGGATTTTGGGCATTCCCCTCGGGAAGTAGACGAGTCCAAGGCAAGAAAACCTTAAAGTGAGTCACACCACTTGCACGAAGTTCATCAAAGTATGGCTCCAAAGAAGAGATAGAAGGCTGGTGGCAAAGGAAATCTGGCTGGGCCCTTTCAAAAGGAAAAGCAGGTTCTCTTCCATGTCCACTTTGGCCGTTTAAATTGTTTACTAAATCATTAGTAAGAGGACCAGCAATAAAAATAAAATGCTGAGAAAGATCCCAGTCTACTCCAGTGCAAGGCAGCAGAAGCAGAAAAACCAGAGATAGCCTGAAAACCAACTCCATGTCTGCTAATGCAAACCTGAGAATTCTTGCCACCCTTATAGCTGATCAGAGATAATGAAATTAACATTTAACTTGCATTATCTTTTGTAAAGGTACAAGGTTGGCAGCGGATGTAAAAATAACACAGTAGGAGATTCAATCTTACTGAAGGCATTTTCTTTTCTAAAAGCAACCCAAACAAAGTCCTGTGAATGCAACTTTTGGCTCTGACTGAAGAAAGAGTATTGAGGAGTCCTTCTAGTTCATCAGTCACAGATATCCAGAATTGGTCAAGCCAGAACTAAGTCAGGAGAGAAATGGAAGGTTCCAGATTCCACCTTGTCCTGGCTGATTTTGGCAATATTGCTAACACAGGGAAAGACTGGCAAGCATGGGGTTGGTTAATCCTTCTCCTTCCTGCCAATGCTCCCTCTAGCTTTTTCTAGCCCATTGGTCAGGGAACAGGGGTAATTACCCCAAATGGGGTAAAAATGAAAATCCTGGGGGTAATGGGGATGATTGCAGCAGGCATTTTACCCCCAGGCATTTTATTTCCGATGATGCTGTGTGTAGGTGGGCATTCTGTCGCAGGGAGAGCGAGCCCTGGGGAGGAACTGCACAGGGCACCCGCCTGCCCTCTTCACCTCCAAAGTGGAGGGAAGGGTGGTGTACAAGGCCAGCTGGACTCTTTGCCTGGCAGAGCCCTGGCTGGGGATCTCCTCCCTACCCACCCGGTGTGCTGGCGAGGAGGCGCCCTTCCCAACCCGCCTCAACTGAGCTCATGGCTGGTGGACCTGCCAGCCCTGTGGTGCCGGCCTCCCCTCGCCAAGGACGTGCTTTCCCAGCGGTGTGGCAGCTCCAGACTGGCTGCCTGGGCAGTGGCCACATCTCGGGCAAGCACAGAGGCGGGGGGTTCGGCCGCGGACGGCGAGAGCCAAGGGGGGGGTTAATGTTGATGTATATAAATTTTTTGGGGGGGGGGGGTAAAAGGTAAAAAAAATTCCTGACTCCTGTTCTAGCCAAACAACACTACAACACTAGAATGACTGAATAAAAATGTTGAGGAAAAGTTTAAATTTGAACTAAGTGACATGTTGACCCCATGGATCCTGGATTTAAGAAGGATATGGGAACTACTCAGGCCTAACTTTTGATGTTTTCCTGTAAACCCCCTCCCCCTCTCTCACTCACACACACACACAATGGTGATGAACATGAAGTGACATCTAGTTATATTTCCACAGCAAGAAAAACAAATTGCTTTGAACACACATATGGGGATACATACAGCTTTATTTATTTATTTAACACCAATAAAATAGTTGGGAAAGAAATCTATGGCATAATATCAGGCTACCGAAACATGTTTAAGAAGACTTAAGTAAAATACAGGAGCAACATTAAGGCAGATCAGCTTCTTTTTACAAAGCTTTCTTATCAGCTTGCATGACTCCTCATTCAGAAGGAACAAAGTCTCTTATATATTAAAAAATTCTACTAAAAAGATATAGTGGGTGAATTCTGTGACAAAGCTCTTCCATGTTAGCCAACTATGTACAACAGTGTATCTTCAGTATTGTGATATGTCTTGGAAAGTGAATAATGGGCTCTTATCATGAAGCACTGCTTCTTCAAAACCTTTAATCTTCGAGCAAATAGTTAGGATTAACTACCAGGAAGGGGTCTTCATCAAAGCTCTGGCCTTCTGCTGAATCTTTCAGTCCTGTCTGGGTGAGCTCAATTAGTATGTGATCCTGAAACAAAATAATTCTAAGTCAGGGCATGTTTTAAGAGAACAAGGCCATATGCCATAGACACCTCAACTGTAAAAGCATGTATTGTGAAGTAAAATGCCAGTCTCTCAGAACTGGTTTAGTTCCAGATAAGAATGAGTCAAATTGAAGACTTAACTGCAATTTTGCCCTCTTAACCTCCCTTGGCCACAATGCTGACAGACTATGATATTCTTAAAAACAGCAGCACCGTCTAAATTTCTCTGACTGTCAGAGAAAGCTTAACAATGTAATCCTATGCATGTCTACTCAGATGTACTGAAAGAGAAATTACTTACCTGTAACTATCGTACTTCGAGTGGTCATCTGTGAATTCGCACTTTAGGGTTTAATCTGCGCTTGCGCAGAGGTTTCTGGAATATTCTAGAGCTTTATTATGTGTTTGCCAGGACTGCCCCCTAGTCCTCACCATTGCCTCAGTTCCTAAGAACATGTTGCTGCATCAAAGGTGAGAGAGACGTGAAGGACGGGCGCGAAGTGAGAATTCACAGATGACCACTCAAAGAACCAGAGGTACAAGTAAACAACCTCTCTTTCTTCTTCGTGTTCTCTGTGAATGCACACTATTGTAGCATTCAGCCCTGCCCTCACCTGTCCGTCACAGCTGGGCCGTGTAACATCAGCCAATGAGGAGACGGAAGGTGGTGCCGAAGGGGGAGGAGCAGGTATATATATAGGAGGAAAGTGAAAGCAGTGGCAAACTGAGAGCTCGATGAGAAACCTCAGCGGCAGCACAAAGGAACTGAGGCAATCGCCGGTATATATATAGGAGGAAATTGAAAGCAGTGGCAAACTGAGAGCTCGACGAGAAACCTCAGCGGCAGCACAAAGGAGCTGAGGCAATCGCCAGGATGGACTGGCCATGTGTACTAGGGGAGCAGTCATGGCGAATGCGTGATAAAGCTCTAGAATATTCTGGAAACCTCTGTGCAAGCGCAGATTAAACCCTATAGTGTGCATTCACAGTAGGAGGAAATTGAAAGCAGTGGCAAACTGAGAGCTCGACGAGAAACCTCAGCGGCAGCACAAAGGAGCTGAGGCAATCGCCAGGATGGACTGGCCATGTGTACTAGGGGAGCAGTCATGGCGAATGCGTGATAAAGCTCTAGAATATTCTGGAAACCTCTGTGCAAGCGCAGATTAAACCCTATAGTGTGCATTCACAGACCACGAAGAAGCAAACTTCTCTTTAGGCACCCCAACCCTGTGAATAAGCTGGAGACCGATACATCTTAACTCAGAAGATGTATTTAACTCAGTGGCACTGGCTTCATAGTAAATACACATCTCAGTAAAAAGCTCCACATCAACATACTCTTGTTTGCATCACATGCTTTATCTGAAGAAATCTGAGTAGCATACTGGCTTCAGAAAGAACCCCATATTTTTAAGTGAAAGTATACATACATAGTGTGTAAGGCGATGGATAACTTTTTCTATTATCTTCTTTCTATTGACGAGTTCTTCCTCAGAATCTATTTCCGACTCAATTTCCTTTAAATACCAGTTGATAAGTTCACTCTTTTTTAAGGAAGCCTCATCATCTTCTGCAGCAAGGGGAGAAAAAGGCATTTATAATTATTTATTAATAATAAAGTTAACATTTAGGATTTATCTGAGTGTACTTTGTACACTTTGCCATAGTAACTAATAAAGTTCAGAATCGCCTTGTGAGATGCATTATTACCATTCTCCAGGCGGACTGAGGGTTGGATAGGACTCAGGAGATCTGAGTTCAAATCCCCGTTTGGGCACGCAACCTTATAGGGCGGGAGTGGTGATGGCACTAGTAAAGGTACCACTCTTTATATATCTCACATATCTTGAAACCCCTAGTGGAGTCACCCTAAGTTATGTGCAACTTAATGGTGTGCAACAACATAGCAGACACAAAAATGAAGGCTGTACAAACAACAGTGACAATCCTGGTACTGCCAGTCACTGGCACTGAGTGCGAAGACTCTCCTAAAGATGTAAGAAATCCATGACAGAATATTCTATTAGGACTCCTTATTCCAAGGTTTTATAGAGAAACCATGTATTTGCTCTTTTATCCACAGAAATCCCACTCTAATGCTCTAACTTGAAGTCCTCAAATGTTCCTAGAATACAAAACCCATTATCCCCAACCACCACCTATACTGGCTGGGAATAATGGGAACTATACTCCAGCATTTGTTATATTTAATCAAGTTCTATATACAGTGGTGCCCCGCTAGACGATGTTAATTCGTTCCATTGAAATCGCTGTTTAGCAAAAACATTGTCTAATGAAAAGCCTTATTGTCTTGCGAAAAAATGGTCTGCGAAGCACAGACCAAATTGCCGTCCAGCAAAATTTCCCCACAGGAACCACTGTTTCGCGAAGCAAAATAGTGGCTGCAAAACATCATTGTCATGCAGATTCGTTGTTCTGAGGGGTAATCGTTTTGCGAGGTACCACTGTATAGGATAAAAAAAATTTCGAACCCGAAATCTTTGTGTCTAAGCATGTTGTCTAAAATTAACCAGCAATTACAGCAAGAGTACACAACTTTTAACTTCCTGGAAGGCTGAATGGGCCCATGCCATGAGACTCCCCATCAACTGCAGACAGATTGTTCATTCTCTCACTATTGCTAGCAGCGAGGAAAGAGCAATCTTTCTCAGGACTGCCGGGGAGGGACTGGAGTGAAATTGTTCCTTCTGTCATAAAGATAAAACATTTTCTGACATGAAAGGCTGATCTGCGCACGGATCTCCAGGGAAGGGATCAGAGATCAATTTCTTTACCACTTTCAGCAGATATTATCTTACAGGCCACTGCCAACTTCGCAACTTGCATCACAAGCTGGTTGAGCCTCCCTTGGCTTATAGGAAGATGCTTTACCCCTCATTCAAACGTTACTGCTTCTTTGTTTCCTTTTTCAGCTTCTTAAACCCCGGGAGAAGATCCTTCAAGGTGTCCTTTGAGGATTCTGTTCTTACCTTCTTCTGCTTTTCTGAGGTGTATCACAAGGAGGTTAGAAATTCTGCGGTACTCAGGAAAACTAAGCCTTAACGAAGCCTTTGGTGGAGATACGTTGCCTGAATCACCAGGGTGGCCACCAACGCCATTGACCAAGTCGTTTACAGCTACGGACTCTCCATTTTCTGCAAAGCATGGACAGATTTTGTGCACATTAGACGGGGGGGGGCTGTGATCAGAGTCCCCTTCATTTCACCTTCGTGGGCAGCTGATGATCATTCCAGATGCTGTTTATGTCTTTTGATAGTGTGACACATGGTTATTTTTAAATGGATTGTCATGGTAAACATATTGTTTGAAATGCATTGGTCTGGGAAGCCTCTGATGAGAGGAGGATGAGAGAGGTGCATGGAATGTTAGTGAGAAGGGTTCTGATTGGCTGGGAGAGAAACCAGGTGAGGAGGAGGAAGAGGAGGAGGAGTGTGTGTCAGGTGTGGAGAGATTGGGAAGTGGGTGGTTTGGGGAGGGATGAGACTGGCAGAGCAATCTGAGAAAGAGCAGTCTACGTTCTGTGTGAGGGCAGTCTGAGAGAGCATCTGACGGGGAGAGGTGACAGAGAGAGCGAAGAAACCTGCAGAATAAACTGAAAGCCTATGAATAAATAAAGTTATTTTCACACCATTATTTTAATAAAGCCCTATTAATTTTATCCAACCTGACTGGGTGCTGTGTTTAGTATCTCAGGGCTGGCTACATGGAGGATGCTATAAGGGCCTGTGGGAAGGGGCAAAACGCAGCCATATTATTTCAGTTTTTTATTTTTACTTCCCTCCCCCTAAAATATTTCAGTTTGTTCTGCAACTGAATTGTACAGTTCATAGGTCTCATTAAAGGTGGAAAAAGTTCTGAAATGATTCATCTTCTCATTTTTTTACATCACAGACATTTTAACGGGTGTGTACACTTTTTATATCCACTGTAGCACCAAACGTTCAAAATCAGGGACTGAGCTGCTTAAAAGCACCACTGCATTTAAGATTAACAAGTACTTCATTTGCTTTATTTTATGGGAGCTGCCCAAACGATCACTTCACTGATCATATCATTTCTACAATCCCAAGGATGAGAAACAGTTCCTTTTAAAAATAACAATTGTAGGGATTTTGAGCATTCTGCTAACTGGCTTAGACCACTACACAATGCTGATTGATTTACAGCAGAACCCCATGCATGTTACTCAGCAGGGCTTATTCCCAGCGTAAGGGTACAGCCTAAAGTTTATATACTGCTTCAGTTATGCTCTCTTAAGCAATTTACAATACCATATAAAACATTTTGAAAACATGCAATATATCTGAGGGTTTAAAAAAAAACTTTTATAACTAAAAATCTGATTCAGTGAAAAGCTCTGAAGAAAAAAATGGCTTTGCACCAACTATATACTGTAGAGGCAAATTAGGAGGATGTCAAGCCAGGAAACTCAAACTAGAGCACTGTCAATAAAGCTCTACATCTTATTAGAGAAGGAATATACAGTGGTGCCTCACTTAACGACCAAACTAGAGCACTGTCAATAAAGCTCTAGATCTTATTAGAGAATATACAGTGGTGCCTCGCTTAACGATTTTAATTGGTGCCAAAAAACACATCACTATGGGAAAACATCGCTAAGCGAAACGTGTTTTCCCATAGAGATGCACTGAAAACTGGATAATCCGTTCCAATAGGAACGGATTGCCGTCCTTAAGCAAAAATCGCCATAGGAAACATTGCTAAGCGAAACGCAGTTCCCCAATTGAAATGCATTGAAACCTATTCAATGCATTTCAATGGGGGAAAAAATTACAACAAATTCAAAAAGAGTCAGAACAAAGTCAAATTAGTTTAACAAAGGGTTTATTAAGTGCACTTATGATTTCAAGCATTCGAAACCTTTTTTAAACATTTAAGACACCCAACACGAGGCTGTCAAAACCATAGTTAAGCAAAACAGGGGGACCTAAACTGTCATCACTATGCAAAGCAAGGTTCCAAACATCGCTATGCGAAAATCACCAATAGGAAACATCGTTAAACGGAGCGCAAGATCGCTCCAGAAAACTAATTGTTAAGCGAAGCAATCGCTAAGCGAGGCACCACTGTATATGAAACATTCCTTCACAAAGTCAGGATCTAGCCATTAGGGCTTTAAAGGTGAAGCCAGCACTTGAACTGGGTCAAGAAATAAACAGATCCTCACAAGCATTTGTTATTGACTTATAAAATTCATATCCTGTCTTTCAGGATAAAAGTTCCCAAGGCGATTACGCAGTAGAGTCGTAAGATCTCTGAATCATCATCATAATCTTAGAATGGCAGAGTTGGAAGGGACTCTATGAATCACTGAGTCCACTCCTATCAGGGAGGCAAAGTGGGGGTATCAAACTGTCAATCTCTGGCTCCGCCACCAGATACCTGTGCTATCCAAGATAAAGTCCATGATCTTTCTTTAAATACCTACCAGCAGCTCCATCCTGAGCCTCAGGCTCCTCAGTGGGCAGTTCTTCTTCATCCTGGCCTAAGTTGATGTCCGGAGTTTCAACTCGGATAATAGATTTGTTCAATAACCTGAAGGCTTCCTTCACATGTTTTGGATGAACCTTGTAAGAACGTTTAAAGAGAGTCAGTTGAACCCCTGAAAAACACACTGGCCTCTAGATCTAACTGCCACACCTGGGACTGACATGGTGACTTGCTGCCTGCACTATTTATTTATTTATTTATTTATTTAATTTGTATCCCACCCATTTAGACAGTGTGTACTCTAGGCGGCTCACAATAAAATAGAATAAAATCCATCAAATAATATCAATTTAACAACAGTAAGAATATCATTCAAGATGGAAGAAAGGGATAAAGGAAAAAAAAATAAATCAAATAGTGACCAGAGGGAAGGCTGGTCAATATTTGATTTACTTAAATTTATACATAAATTATCTGTTTCTGCTTCTACTACAAGGAGAAACAGATAATTTATGTATAAATGTAAGTAAAAATAAACCAAATATCAAGCCACTTAGAAATCAATTTATATGGGCTCTTCAGTTCATGCATCTCATAATGTCCTTAATGATTAATGGGTGATAGTTGACAATCAACATGTATCTTTTCTGGCGGATATTTCAGGTAATATATGATCACTAGAATCAACAAGTGCCACGGCGCTGGGTGCAGTTACCTCATCAGAGCAATGCATCCGTGCCATTGCTTCCGACAGGCGAATCATGCTCTCCAGTTGTCGCACTGTGATTCTCCAAGATGATTTGGTAACACCAGAGCCATCCCTCTGACGCAGGCGCTTGTACTGCTCAACTATAAAATCTTCTGACTCTTTAGAAATCTGTTGGAAGAAAGGAGGGGGAAAACATTGTGAGCAACAGTGGAATTGTACAGGGCTTCTCATTTACATGCATTTGAAATCAGTTGTTCACAGCAAAATAGACTAACCACTGGATATAGATTCAGTATCATCCTCCCCCTCATCTTATCTCTCCATTCAAAGTACTCAGGAGGATAGAGGAGGTACATTAAACAACAGAAACGTTGATCTTCAGGTAAACCCAAATGTCATAAGTGCAAAGGATATAGATAGCACTAGCATTACACTACAATTAACACAGAACAGAACAAGCTTAATTGCTTAAAACCATAGATCATAATGTATCAACAGCAACAACAAAATATATACAGTACAGTGATGCCTCGCTTAGCAATCGCTCCGTTGAGCGACGAAATCGCTTAGCGATAGTCCCTATGGGGAAAATTCACTTTGCGATGATCGCGGGGAAGCGATCATCGCAAAATGCCCATTTTCAGCCAGCTGATTGGCGTTTCAAAATGGCCGCCCGCTGTGTTGCCTCGCTTTAGAGGCACCGAAAATGGCCGCCCCATGGAGGATGTTCGCTTAAGGTTAGTTTTTAAGCCCACAGGAACGCATTAATGGCGTTTTAATGCATTTCTATGGGCTTTTTAAATCCGTTTAGCAATGAAATCACTTAGCAACGTTTTTTCCTGCATGAATTAACGTTGCTAAGCGAGGTACCACTGTATTTCATTTCTTGCCCAATGACGTTAATACAGAAACTGAAAAGAAAGGGGGCACAGTTAACACAGCATGGTAATACGTGAGACACAGTCTGAAGCTGTAAAAGCAGCTATGCCACAGATCAAGTAATCATCTGTGGCACACTTCTAAATATTTTGAGTACTTCTAAATATTTTCAATTACCTTTGGTTTAAACTGCCTGGCAAAAAGAAGGTATCTTCGGATATCATCTAATGTGTAAATACGATCAATCGAATCATCGATCCTAGAATGAAGATCCACGATGCGTCTAGCAATGGCATAATCTGTAACCTGAGAGGAGGAGAGGCTAGGTCAGAACACACTTATCCCACCATTAACAAGAGATTAACAATCAGCATGTTCAGACAGGTTGTTTGTTCAATTGTATGTATCCGATTCCCATTTTTTTCTCCATCAGACGTTGCCCCTTATTCCAGTATGAACAGGAACTAAATAAGATTTTCCGTCCAGTTTTCCAGATCTATGTCTCTCATCAACCTCCTGTTTTTCATTCCGCTTGGTCACACATTCCTTTCTAATCTGAAGCTTGCCCTTTTAAAAAAAGTTTCTTTTTATAAATGGCCCAGCCCAAGTATTCTACAACTGTCTCTCTGTGTGTGTGTATTCTGTGGGATTTCCCTAAATTTTTTAATTCTGCAAAATTCACTCCACCTCAGCAATTCTCTACTTCTTTCCTTCTACAGCTTCCTTAAGTTAACTCATCTTTTGATCCAAACCACTGCACGTGCCATTATGCTGGCCAATGAAGGCAATTTTAAAATTCTATTTGTACCGTAACTCAGTAGTCCCCAACCTTTTTGGAACCGCGACTGAAGGCAATTTTAAAATGGTCCCCAACCGTTTTGGAACTGTGGAACGGTTGGGGGGCTGGAGTAGGTGTGGGGGGAGGGGCGCCCCCTGTGCTTGTGAGTGGGCATGGCACATTCTCACGCACGTGCCACATCCACCTGCAAACACACCATGCCCATCTGCAACATGCTCGCGCACCTGTGCATGCAAGCACCACATCCACCATGCGTGAACGGGGCGTGGGAGATGTATCTGCAGCCAGCCCTGTAAAGCCCATGGACTGGCACCGTGCCACGGACTGGGGGTTGGGGACCCCTGCCCTAACTCATTTATATAAATATGGGACTCAAGGGTTGGCATCACCTCAGTTAGTATGTACTATGTTGGTGAATAGAAAATGCCTTTAAAAATAGCATGACTAAAGTACACAGAATAACAACTAACAAAACACAAAATACGGTCTACAGGTCAAAATCAAAAGATAAAAAGTAGAACCCACATATAATTTTAAAACAGGTTCCATGTTGTGGAATCTACAATGTATCTCAAAGATTTACAGATTATGTTTTACCTCATTACATTCATCCACAAGAATGAAGAACAGATCAAATCTAGACATGATGGGGGCTGACAGGTTTATATTCTGCTTCAAGGACTTTGCTCTGTCATAACGTCCACCAACTGGGTTAGCTGCCGCCAAAATAGAAGTTCTGGCATTCAAAGTAGCCTGTCAATAAGGATGTCAACAAGTTAAATGGAGACAAGTGAGTGGAAAAGATACTGTTCTCTCTGTTGATCACACAAAGCAATATAACAAAAAGAAGGTAAAGTCGCGCCCCGCTTTACGATTGCCCCGCATTACGATGACGTTTTTGTGATCATTTTGCAATTGCAAAATGATGGTCTGAATAGGGGTTTTTCGCTTTGCGATGATTGGTTCCCTGCTTCGGGAACCGATTCTTCGCAAAACGACAATTTTAGAACAGCTGATCGCGGTTTCAAAATGGCTTCCAGGTAAATAAAATGGCTCCCCGCTGTTTTCTGGGACGGATTCCTCGCTGCACAGGCACTGAAAATGGCCGCCCTATAGAGGATCTTCGCTGGACGGTGAGTTTCCAGCCCATTGGAACGCACTGAAGGGGTTTCAATGAGTTTCAATGGGCTTTTTATTTTCGCATTACGTTTTCGTTCTACAGCGATTTTGCTGGAACGAATTAACGTTGTAATGCGAGGCACCACTGTATAGCAAAACGAGCCCTGAAACTACAGTGGTGCCTCACACAACGATGTTAATTGGTTCCAAAAAAATCAATGTTGTGTGAAACATCGTTCTGTGAAACACCATTTCACATAGGAATGCATTGAAAACCGGTTAATCCGTTCCAATTGGAACGGATTGCCATCGTTCAGTGAAAATCCCCATAGGAAACATCGTTGAGTGAAACAATGTTTCCTATATTGGAATGTATTGAAGCCGACTCAATACATTTCAATGCCTTTGCGAAGTCCTTTTTCGCTCCTGTAAAAGTGTCTTACAATGTTTGGAAGCTGTTTTAAATGATTGCAATGGTTAGTCCACCTCCTGAAACCTATGCAAACTGATTTTTTCTTAACTGGATTTCAACCATTTTATAATCTAATTTTCATTTGGCTACAGCACTCCCTGTGTTGTTGAAATGCAAGTCCACTCCCCCCGCCCCCCAGTCTTAGCCAGCAGTAGTGAGAAATTCTGAGAACTGCAATCCAGTAATATCCATAAGTGCACCTTTGGTCCACCCCTGCTTTATGGGGTTGTGTTTCTTCAAGATAGTTAATTCCATAATCCTGTCTCCAGCTTGCAGGTGCTTTAACTACTTGTTTTACTGAGGTTTTTATCTTCACTGTGTGTGCAGACACGCTTGCCAGAAACCACACTTGGACCATCTATACATGCATTGAGTGTAAAGTGTCCTCTAAAATGAGAACACACAGGGGTGCGGCCAATGCGTCTAGGGTCCTTAATAAATTCATAAAATAAATGTGGTTTGCAGAACTATTTAGTTCTACCACAAATGGTTAGATATTTGTTTCATCTAGAATTTTAGAGAGAGTAAAAGCTCTGTTGTGCAAGATGGAAGACTCGTTCTTTTCAAGAAATGGTCGTGAGAAAGGTTCCTTAGTTTTATGGATGGAATAAAAGTGATCATGATAATAAGAAAGGGGCAGAAAGATCTAGCCAAAATGGTTAGTGAAGAAGCACAAGAAC